CTCGCTTGACAGACAAATCCGCATAACAGACTTCAGTACAGACTTCAGTCTGTAGAAGTGCGCACCACCAGTGGACATGAGTCCCTCAGGTCCCCCCCCCCCCCTTGCTTCCCAACTTAATTTGAATTTAAAATGTCATTATTATTGACATGAATGTGTGTGTCGTGTTTTTCAGTTCTTTTGGTTGTAATCTTGCTTGTTCTGCATAAGTGTAAACATTTATAGGACAATTGAATTCTTATAACAGACTTTTCATACAGCAGACTATTCTGTTGCACGAATTGAGTCCGTTGTGCAGGGCTCTCCTATATTATTGTATTTTGAATGGAGTCTATTCGAATCGCATACCAGCGACGTGATGCAGGTTGATCCCAGTTGCAATATTGCGATGGAAGATCGAATGGAGCGTGGATGAATTTGCCATCAGAAATATTGGCAGAGATCTGGTTTCAGGGCAGAAAAAAGCGGTTCGGATCGCGGTGAAGCGCAACAGCTGATACCTCACGTTACGAAATTCTCTCACGGTTTGCTGGTCCTGCGGAGTCGAAAACGAAAGCGGGATTCGGTGGGCGAGCTGAATAATGCTGTAACGTCGCATTTTCCCCTCTGCACTGACCCACCTGTTGCGATGCCCGCTGTCCGAGTTTTTACTTTCTGGTTCACTATCGCCGCCTCTCGCCATCAATCTCTGCTTCTTCCTTCCCCACTTGTTGCCCGCGGCGGCTGGAAACTGGTTTCTCATTTTTGGGTCGCCTCTCATCTCCCTCATTTCCGAATCCGGGGGCAGAGCTTGATGCTACACTCTGAACCGGAACGCCACAATCTGCCTGTTTTCTGGATAATTTTGTCGACTAGCCTGTGATACGTCGGCAGACTTGCCCGGCGGCCAAAGAAATAAACCCCGCTTCAATCCGTCTTTAATGCTCACTAATCTTAAAACGAAGGTTTCGACAATGGTTCAACTCCGCATCCGGAAGTCCTTCCTTACCGTCGAAAGAAACACCGATTCAAATCTCAAGAACGAGACCTGGCCCATTTCGTCACTGTCTTTCAGTAATTCAGCAGGACTTTTTTCATTTTACACACGTTTGAACACCTATTATCCAATCCCGCTGAAGAGATTTTTTTGCTGACTTGGAATAGATTTTTTTACAGTATGGCTATCAAAACCATGCTAAAATTTGGGTCTGCCAGGAAGTTCGTTGGAAACGTGACAGCAAATTATCAAATACAGCATTTCGATTGTTTCTTGCTGGTAAGCATAATCGCTCGAGTAATTCTTCGTTTGTTTGTAATCTATGGTACAGTAATCGGATGACCTGTAACATTGATGAAAGATTCTAGTGCGACATCTGATAACAATTTCGCACCGGGATTACGGGGTAAGCTTTCAATTCTCAGTCTTTTCTCAGTTTCAAGTTACGAGGATGAAAAGTGAAACATTGCTCAGGAAATGTTTAATTATTCCTCAGAAAATGACGGTTAACGTTCATGCTTCTTAAACCGTGGGAATTGAAAGACGGACGAAGCGTTCAAGCTAGCTTCGATATGTGATCAATTAGGTTTTCTGCAAATGTATTTTCACTCATCCTTACTGGCTTTAGGAACGAAACTGCATGTAAAATATTGTATTATGGATATTAAAAACGAAAACGAATGTTTAATGTGTTACATAATTAAAGTAGTACGGTTCGTTGATTGTTGCGTGTCTCATTTTACCGCAGCATTACACATGTGATGCTGAAAAGCAAGCCGTGCGTGGATGGATAATTTAGATTTCTCCACATTCTGAGGCTTTGGAATCGCGTGTCACCGCGAAGAAGAGGAGAATATCCGACCTATGCGACCCTAAATAACCGTACGTGCAATTTCTCAGGATGGTGTTGTTGGGGAAGGACTTCAAGGGTCTATTTTTGAAAGTCTCGTGTCTGCGGTCCTTTTCCAAAAATATTTTGGCGCCGCCTTAAGATTCAGTGAACAGGATGAATTCCGCGTTAACTACGAAAAATCTTGAACGATCTCATTTTAGAGGGATTCAGATGCTGACAATAACGTTTCATGAAATCTCGAGGCTTTTGAAATTCAGTTTTCTAATTTTTCAAGAATTGGATGTCTGGGATAAGGCTTTTCCTTCAGCGATATTCTTAAACCTTTTCCCGGTATTTCATCATGTACCCGCATTTACTCTTGTACCACGCATCCGATGTGAGACGCCTACTGTACAATGATTGAAACCAGAAAAATGCCTTCTTTAAATCCATAAAATATGTACGGGAGAAGGTTCGGTAGATTTTTTGTTGCTGATACCTTAGAATAAAGTTGTAGTATTTTGGTTTCCAAATATCTGCATCACTATGAACTGATCTGAACCTCCAGGGGTTAAATTATAAGACTTCATTGAGTCTCATGTAATTTTATGTCACTCTGGGAACTTATTTTTCACAAATTCACATTTCGGGGAAACCACCCCACACACTATCATTGGCACGAAATTTCTATAGGAAGATAAGATTTTTCTCATTAGAACTTGGATTTAAAAATTAAATTTAGGATCTGAAAAATTGTCACTCGGAGACTTTCCGAACATGTGAAATACTGTATTTTATTTTTCAGGATGCTTGCAAAGTCGTTGCTTGTGCAGGTGTGATAAGTCAACCTTATTTACGAACAGCAATGGGCTGGATTTTTAACTCTCCGCTGTCTCTCCTTTCCAACCTTTTATTTCTACGTGACGCGCATTCATTTTTTGTAATTCGTGCAAAATCGTGTGTGTAGTAAACGAGGGTTTTATTTTATTCTTCGATTTTCATTAAAAATAGTCAAAGTGTGCAGTTTTTTCGGCTGTGTTTTTGTAGATTTTTTGGTATTTCGTCTGTACCGCTAATGTTTTTAGTGGTCCCTGTAAATGGCGTCATTTCCATCACTCCGCTTCCACGAATTTCCGTGCATCTGCGGCAGTAACGTCGATCTATTATCGCATGCAATATTTTTGGACCCGAAACAAGTGTTCAGAAATCACTGTAAACCCAATTACAGTCGTAGCCGTGCTGAAATGCATGACCAAATGATCGCATTTTCCCGGAATGGTGGATTAGACTTGTTCGTCGATCAAGTAGAAATATCGGCTCAACGCACTGACGCCCAGTTGCATGGCGCGCGTTTGGGCGGCGCGGAGTTCGGCTTGACGATCAGTTGACCCAGCACCTTTTCCAACCACGGTGACCGGAATGCTTCCGTCGCGGAGTGGCAAGATCGCGCGCAGCCGCGAAGTTGAAACGAGTATCCGGAACTTCTGTGGTCTTTTAAGTGCCCCCTGCGATGATCGCAGCCGGGCGACGAATCCGCACTGAGGCAGTCGGGACGTCGACATCATAGGGACTTCGTTACAATTTCCGAGCATGACCCTTGTGTAGGTGGGAAATCCGTTGCGATGCTCGCTGCTCGGCGCCCACGGACCTCGTTATCGACTGACGCGAGAACCGCTTCTTGACACCTGCTCGAAGCAATGGGGAGAAAGATCCGTTTCTTCGGATTTTTCGGGAATCCTATTTTCCGCAATGAATCTCTCATCACTGGTACGGTACGCCCGAGTTAATCTTCAAGCCACTGTCTGCCCCTTTTTCCCTCGGAGGGCTGGGAGTTCTTCGAATGATTTCGGAATAAGCGACAGATGTTATTCAAACGCTCGGAACGTCTTAGTTTTTCTGATACAGTAGTGTTCTCTCATTGAGCCTACACGCAGAGAGATTGCCCATTTTCGTCATTTAAAAAATCTTAAATCTTGGAACATTATCTAATTCACGTGCAGCATACATTTTTGAGAAGGATCGAACATTTTGAAGATACTGTTTTCAAAAAATCCACGTTACATGTGACTGTTAGCTTGGTCTCACATGGTCTGTTTTTACAGTACTTTTTGGCTGAACAAATTCGACCAAAAGTCAAACAGAAATGCCTCTGAAGTTACGAAGCATTTAAGCAACGGAATCTAGGCTCGAATAAAATTTTAATTTGGAAGCGTACTATTATTTTCGAATCCGATGGCCATATTCCTTTGAACTTCAAATGCCATGAAGAGAGTCTCACTTCGAAAGAAATGAGAGGCTGATTTCTAAAGAAACACGATTTTCTGTATTCTTCCTATAAAATTTGAAATAATTCACAGTAGCAATCATCAATCATTTTCAAGGGAAACTTGCCTTCCTGGATCATATTTGGGACAAGGAACCAAACGTTTGATTAAATTATTGAATTCATTCTAAAGGCTAGCTCATTTGTATCATCCATCAAAAATGTGAAATTTCCTTGGAAATGAGATAATCATCTCGAACATGATCCAGAAAAGCTGGTTTATATGTTCTTTGACGGAATTTTCGGGAAGTTACAATTTTCTCAAAAAATGGAAGCTTGATGTCTCCTTTTTCTTCGTGCAGTATATTTGAAACGTCCATCAGGTACCCGGTAAACCACGCTCATAGCAGAAAATGACTATAGCGTGATTACGACATTCAAGATTAAAGTAAAACCGCATGCGTCGTCCGAAGCCCTACGAATTTCAGATTTCTCAGAAAGAAATTCTAGCTGCTCAAAATTTGAACATGGCAGTGTTTTGAATTCAACTTTCAAATTCGGCAATGTTCTCCAAATAATCTTTAGTGATCATAAATTACTAACCATAATACACACATACATATGTTAATATTGAACAAAATTAATATAAAAGCGTTCGTTTGAGCATAGTCAGTGTTCAAAATCTTTTTTTTTATAAATACCGAGGTTTCAAATCTTGGATGTCCAAAGTTTCCCACGACACCCGTCAATCTTGGCCGCGTTTCGTCAGCTCTTGATATTCTTGAAATCGTGATCTTGTATCAGAATTTAAAGAAAATTAACGGTCGCAGAGGTTTTCGTCCGTGGCAATTTTTGCTGTAAGATATGAGAAAAATGCGTAGCTTTTGTTCGACAGCCGTGTCCCCGCCAAGGCATTTTTGCAAGCGTTGATGTTGGGAAATGAGACCAAGGAAGAAGAAGTGCCGCCGGGCATGAGCGCCGTGAATTGCGTGGCAGCTTTTGCACAATTTCACGCAAACTTGCGGACGAAATCGGCGGATTCCTTTTTTTTTTGCCTTCCCTTTGCCTGGTTTGCGATAAATAAATTCCAGGTGGTAAGATACTTGGCCAAGAGGGAGCGGCATTTCTCATTCCCTGACTGCCTCGGTCCGGAAGTTCTGCAATGCGTTCCTCGCAGTTGACTTTTCTCCGCACCCGATGGACAAAAGCGAGGGAGGCGCAATTTTCTTCTTCAAGAAAAAAAAATCAGTCTCTTTTTTTATATCGTCCGTGTTTCTTCGGCAGCAGCAGCGGCAAGAAACATTAGTGGCGCCCATGCTGGTACGCTGGAAGAAGGCCGTATTGCCATTTGAGTTCTGATCGCCTCTCAACGCTGATCTTCGGGAATATTTTCATGTTTCATGCAAAATTTTTATGACCATCCTGTGCTCGTATCTAGCCGAGAATGCGCTCGTATTTCGTAAATTTAAGCCCCAGACATTTTCCTCGGAATTGCTGTAAACTTTCATGTTTTACTGGTTTATGCTACCAAGTGCGTTGCCGGTGTGGCAGTCAGGAGCGTCCGCCGTCCGGACTGTCCGGCCGGACAGTCCCGCCTAGTCAGGACCGTCCGGTCGGACATTCCTGCCGCCGTCAGGACTGTCCGGGCCCCAGTCAGGAGCGTCTGGCCCCCAGTCAGGAGCGTCTGGTCCCCAGTCAGGGATGTCCGGGGTTTAAAAAAAAATTGCTGTGCAACTTCTTCTGAATTTGGTCTGGTAAAAGACTTTGCTTCAATCCATTCACTGAAGTAATCACATACCATAATAATGCCAGTAAAACCACTGTCAGTAGGAACTAGTTTAGGGAATTAGGGAATTACCAGCTCCCTCATGTGCTGCCTTCAAGTAATGCTGTTGGTCTTCTTTTTTGAAAATAACCCTTAAATATGTGGGTTCTTTGGCCTTTTTCACTTCAGCGTATCTAAATAATAAAAAGTATTGGCTTATAAACTGGGATCCAGCTTGCAAATGTTTTTAAAAAAAAAACCTTGACAGTTTTTTAAATAATAAGTTGGCATGGTTCTAAATTAAAAGCACTCAAGATTATGTAAGCATTCCAGCTAATGAACATCACAACAAATTATGTTTGTCAGCTAAAAGCACATCTCACAAAATAAGATATTTTTTTCCAAAAGTTTCTAAGAAATAATCCAAAACTGTGCCTTACCATTCTTACAATAAAGCCATTGGAGGGAATTTCATGAAAAAATATTCTCATGTTCTTTGTGCATGTAAGTACACTTTTTGGCTTCATTTAATGGAATTACTATTCTAATGATATTTGAAAAATAAAAAAATTATTACTTGAAATTCAACTGGTTATTCAGCATCACATAGGAAGCTGCTGTATATTGGAGCACCCTCTTCTCATTACAGTATTGCTTTGCACTTCCTCATCCTACCTTCCTTCTTCCAAATAGACAATGATCTTCTTACACATTTCTTCATATTGTTTTGCAGCCATTTATAATGATTAAGTTGATTTAAAAGTTAATATTGGTAGGAAGATTATTACTGAAGAATTTTGAATGAAAAATTTTATTAACATTTTTATTAAAAATTTCTTGCAGGTAAAACCTTCAAGATTTTCAATAACTTTCATCATTTAACATGCTTTCTACCACTGTCTATGTAGTTCTGTACTATTTCATTTGTAAAACCTTCATAATATTGGATTTTCAATCCCGGACGCTCCCGACTGGCGGCAGGATGCTCCCGCCTGGGGGCCGGACACTCCGGACTGGGGGTCGGACGCTCCCAACTAGGTGAGAGTGTCCGGCCGGACGCTCCTGCCTACCCGGACGCTCCCGACTCCTACACCGGTGTAACCACGAAATGTCGATGCTCTAGTTTATAATGCAACGTATAATTTCGATTATCTCTGCTCCAATCAGTCGTTTCCAAATCTGAAGGAACGAATTGGGGTATATGATTTTCGTAGGATTCAACGTGAAATTGAAAACAACATGATCAGCGGAAGAAAGTGAACAGAAGATCGGCAATAGGAGATATGTCACACAAGAAGCCAGAGAAGAGTAGAATTGAACTCCGTGAATTTTTTCCAACGAAAGAATGCACGCGAGCGTGTATGTAGGGAATGTGTTAACAACCCCTCAGTTAAAAATCTCATTTTATGATTTGAGATAATCTATCAATGTTTCAAGCTATTTTCAGATAAATCTTCTATGATTGAAATTTTTTAAATTCGCGATTTTCCGAGATACTATATGTGGCATACCAAGCAGAGGAACCCGGTCATTATAATCACGTAAAATTGAGTTCATGTTCACCCGAATCGGCTCGCGGCATCATCGCCAAATGATCGTACCCATCATTCAATATGTGTCTCGTCAACGACCCATCTTCTGGATGAACGAACGATCTAGTTTTGGATGAAATACTGTACCTTGGAAGCTCATGCTTTATTTTTCGGTGGGAAGAATAGAGGTTTGCATTTTATTGGATCAGTTACAGGCACATTTTTGCCTGGCTTCGGGCTGACGAAAGGGTTAGTTTCTCAACGTCCAGCCGGCCGAAACTAGTCCTTAGTCTTTTTTTACATGAAAGTATACATGACCCACTTGAGAGGATGACATCTTCGAATTTTATGCGTTAGCCTGTTTCTGTATTAGTCCGATTTTGTATGACTGCAATTCTTCATGGTGCAAAGGATTCTTACTTTGCAATGGCGTTGATATGCCATGACTGAACATTTTTGTTCAGGTGAACGCTCTTTAAAAAGAAGAACTCAGTCGACTGAAACAAAGGTTATTAAGTCAATATTTTTAAAGAGTTTTGCTGAATTAATATCGGTAAAGGCTGTCTGCGACTTTTTTTAGGTGATTCAAATGATGATCTCGATTCAACAAAGTTTTTTTCCTTATCCAGGTAGACCTTTTATCACTATGATGTACAGTACAGTATAATACTCCCCCAGGGCGGTCCTCTGAATTTTGCGGAGAATCCTCCTGTGAAATTTCTACCGAAATCAGGAAAAGAATCGGCGCACAAACAATTTTCGCTACAGACAAAACCAATGTTGAGAGAATCCACTGGTGATCAAACTATTGAAGAAAATAGCGTCGTTAGTATTTTAATTCCATCCGCAGTTTTTCAATCAGTACCAATCCTGACGAATAGCCCATATAATCAGCCTGTTGCTTTGATAAATTATAACATTATTTTCGAATTCGATGACTTTCGGTACAGTACTTGGAAATGAGGCAGTATTTCACTCATTGTAAGATGTCCGTGAAGCTGGGGATTGGATAAGTCTTTCGCAAGGTGGTCATCAACGAGTTCTTTCCCGCGGATCATTCCGTCGTAAATATATTTTTTTCAACCATCTCCGTTTGAAAGTAGGAAGAATGGTTCTCACCGGGAACAATGGCCCAAAGAAGGAAAGTCGGTAGAATGGACGATGACGCGGAGGCGTCCGGGTTGTGGCGAGTGTCTTGAATTAAGAACTCTCCTTTGTTGCGCAATTACCGGGTTTTCATGATCTTTTCCTGGACGATCTGTCCCGCGTTCGCTGTTGGGAATGGTCGCCTGGCCAGGCTGACTCCCCGCTCGAAATAATTGATATACTGTATTTATACATTTTTTATCTGCCAAGATCATCCGCGAGGGAAAAATTGTGGTTGATCGTGTGGAATACCTGATTTACTGGTATATGGTTAATTATCGAGAGTATTCGTGGTTCGACTTCCGGCAGACAGAGGGTCACCGCGAAGCCTTGGCTCGAGAGAACTTGAACCAATTTATTTCGTAATTCCCGTTCATTATCTACGAAAACAATTGTACAAGTACAGTATAGCATTTTACGTAAGCTTATAATCCGTGAATACGAATAGTTTATTGTTAGTGATACAATATTTTGTTGGATATAAATCTCTTGAAGCTTATCAAATGCAACCAAATTGATGCTCTGCATAACCGAGCATTCATTGAGGTTTATGCAGATATTCTGTGAATCAATCATTGCCATATTCCTAGGTTTCGTTAGGAGTTCTGCAATTAATCCGGTCCTCTCAAGTCTGTGTGGTTAACACCAATGCAGACCCCCAGCAATGGAATTATCTTTAGAAAGATTCCTCAATTGCTCTCCGAGTTTATTTTATAGAATAGCGGAAAGACTCCAGCCGTTTTTAATGATTTATTTAGGTTTTGGTTTTCCCAAACTTGCTCCCTGTTAACAAATTTGTTAACAATGTTAATAATGCAGGATGCATTCAGAAAGATACGTACAGCAGTACAGTAACCGGGAATTGATCAAATGGTTGCTAAATTTGCAGTTTTTCGCAAGTCTGTCGGTCAGGCGGACTTGGTGTGCCGACGATGGATTTAACCGAGGAAACGATTCGTTCGAAGAATGTCCCGAGGTGCTGGAAGGAACAGAATAATTATGACTGACCTTTCCTACAGTTCTTCCTTGCTTGAACGGCGTGGTCATCGGGTTTATTACCGCCTCGAGCTTCACTTCCTTGACGGATCCCCGACTCAGAGAATGAGCCCGATTCATTGCCAAGTTTACCAGCCGATAAAAGGACCATCTACAGCTCTTTTCTTTTGATTTGATGACCTCGATTAAATGAACGGCTTGGCGACCGGAAGTCGTTGACATTTAGGAATGAACTGTTGGAACTTTCATGGGCTTCGCAGAACGTCGATAAAGTCGTCGGTCTATTTTCGGGTTAATTTCTCGATTCCATCATTTTTTCACCCGAATTCATGTTATATTACTGCCCTTTTCTTTGCGCCAGTTGCAAGAAATCTAATCCATCCTGGTTACAATAGTTTCCCATGAAATGTTTCGGGTAAAAAAAGTTTTCTCTTCGTCTAACTTTTGGTGAATATTTTCTGGCAAGGAAGCGTTTTTTTGTACCTGACAAATACAACTGATTCATTTCCTGGTGTACGTGAGGTGTTACGTGAGCGCTGGAAAAATGAAATCATGGTTGAAGTGTTCGACATACGAATATACATATATATATATAAATACATATATATATATGGCGGGCTTCTTCGCTGTTGTCCGAATTCATTTTGAGAGGAGCTACTTTTGATGAAGTGATCGGTCTGGTAAATGTTAGGGGAAAATGTTGAATAAGTAAACGCCCTGCTTCATTTTTGAGAGATCAAGAATCTATAACGAGGGTGTGTTGGTTCTGAATTTCCTCAGTCTTTTCATTTCTTATTACATTATCAGAATGCGTTACATGTTTCTTGATTTCACTAATTAATAGCGATTCATTTCCTGGCCAATGAATATTTTTTTCGATTGAGGTCGAAATTGAGATAAATTTGGTGGAGGGGGGGGGGGGTGGTTTTCTTCTCAGCGGGAACGTCTCACCCAATACTGTGCTGTTGTTGCTACTCTGGGTACATTATTTATCTTGCTTAGGCATTCTCGAACAGCGTACGCGTCCTATTAATGCAGCTTTTCTAGCTCTAGTCGTTATATTCGTCCACGAATTCCTGGAATGTTGTCGGATCCACGGGAAACCTATTCAGAAAACGGCCCTGTACGATTTGCGATGCGGAATCCGCGATTCCGAAGAGAAGAAACTCATCATTATACTAATCTGTTTGACTTTATGTTTCCCAGCGGCTCACAATTGCACTGCGGATTCCAACTGCTCCAGTGCCGAGTTTTGTCACGGAGGCGTTTGTGTGGATCCCTGCAAGGTACTGAACCCATGCGACAGAAGTCTAAGAAACGGCGTATGCGTTGCTAATGGGCACCGAGCCGTTTGTCAGTGCCCCCTCGGCTTCGTCAACGTCGGGCTGGAATGTAAACCAGGTGAGTTTCCGAGTCGATGAGACTAATGAGTGACGCCTCTAATTATATTATTAACCGACTGTTCGAATTATGGCCATTTTATCCGTCCCGCGGAGAAATAGTGCCCGATCGATGTCCTTAATTGATTCTTCAGGAGGACGTGTTCAACTACGAACCCGTAGGACTTCCGCGTACATTTAAGCTGAAACTTATCGTACGACTAAACTGGCACGTTTCAGATTTTGCGCGAATATATTCTCAAGAATCGAGAGAATTTTCCTCGTTTTTGGCTGACTAAGTTTTTTCGGGAGTTTGAATGAGTTCAAGATTAATGAAATTGAAATATCGGATTTCATCGAAAATAAAGCAGATTTTACGCCGAAATATATCTCATGGAAATATGTTTTATGAGAATAGATTTCCTGTGCGAATGAACGAAGAAATTCACGAATTCGAATGGCGGGCATAAAAATAATGCAAGAGGTTCAAGGTAAATGCGCATTTCCTCCTACATGTTTCTTGATTAAAATATTTTCTCAGCAATACCTTTCAGGGAAATGCGGACTTTTTCAAAATATTCCTAATCATCTTAAAAACGTATTCGTGGCAATGTTTCAGATTCTATAGCCATGTTAGCTGGCGAAAAGCTACAATTTTATTAATTTCGTGCTGGTGTTCTTAAATTTAGGCTGCCCAAAACTAACGATCGGTGAACATGAGTAAGAGTTGCCCAACTCACGTCTACGACTGAAGAGTACCATAGCGAATTAACAGAAGCGTGCCCGATTTAACACGCCATGCTTTAACTTGATGGATTCTGACCCAGAAACGTGGGTTCTTGAATACATTTTTTCCAAAGGTTCTGACGAAGCTTTCAACCCGTGCCTCGTCTGATTTAAGGTGGTCTCTGGAATGAGTGATTCATTGATAAAAGTCTTTTTTTCGGGGAACACAATGTTTCTCTCTATGATTAGTGTGATGTAACATCCAGAGGTATTTTGCATTGCTCTGCGGTGGACCGAGGACGCGGTATATCGTAAGCTTTGTCACTCGGGAAAGCGGAAAACACTGCGAGACGCGGAAGTAGACCGCAGTCCATAAATTATCCGGTGCAGATGCGTTCCGATTCGCCTTAGCGCCTGGTTACGTCGCAATTCAGCGTCAAGCCCCATCGCCGCGCTCCAGACGGGGAAAAGCATTTTGATTCCCTTCTTCTTCTGTTTCGTTCTTCCTACTTTGCCCATCGCCAGTCAAATGCAGCCACCTTGGCGAGGAGCACAACTACGCGGACAGCGTGTACGAAAGCGACTGCCAGCAGAAGTGCACGTGCACCGCGTCCGGGGAAATGACTTGTTCGAAGGACTACGCCTGTGCGCCCGGCTTCTTCCGCAGGGGCACCTACGCCAAAGACCCTCTGTGCTATGAAGACGGGGATGCGCCGTTCGCTGACCAGTGTTGCGTCACCGTCCTTTGCTCGAGTGCGAAAGGCAAAGGCACCGAGACACCCGGATCCACGCCCACCAGCACGGAAAAGACGTCTTCCCCGAAAGGTTCGTTCCGGAGGATAGTTATAGCGACAAAATCCGATCATCCGAGCACCCAGTTATCATAACAGTTTTTTTTTCTCCTGTAACATGGACTGCACTCTCGATGTGTGCAAGGATAGGAGTGCGATAAAATTCCGCCAGAATTTCGAGAGATATCAATCCGCGGAAATGCGAACATCGCACCCTTTAAGATTTATACGAATCATTTTAATCACTTTCGGCTAAATATTTTGTGTAAAACATTTTTTGAAAACTGCACGTATAGCCTGGGATAGTTTGGATAATCGCAGTTCTAAAAAAAATCTTCCTCCGAGTTTACCGTTACTATGTCAATGTGAGCGAAATAACTGAAAGATAAACGGGCCTCCTCTGCAATTTTTCATCCGACAACGAAGTCCGATCCTGTATTTTGAGAGTTTTAAACTTTTTTAAAGAGTCATGCCAATTTGAAAGCAGACCAGTGCTCTTGGGCAATTTTCGGCTGGGCGTATTCACCATAATATGGCCTTACCATGGTTAATTTCATCCGTTTAAATGAGAAAATTGTAATTTTTTTACTTTGCCATTCACGTGCATCCTCCAAATCGCTTTGATTTGCAATAAATCATCCCTCAACTACAGTAGTTTCAACTGAGATAAAAATATAGAAATCCATGACCAAAATTGTCACCCATGGCCATTACTAAATGTCTCTTTGTATATCATGCAGTCACTGTCACATGTGCCACAGGTATGTATGCATTCTAGTAAAGTAAAATACGTGTACCTCAACGTTTTTCAGTTTTTTTCCGTGGATTCTACCAAATTCAAAATACAGCAGTGTTCGTGAATTTAATATACTGGTACAGTATCATGATTTGAACTCAACTCAAGGACAAATAAAGCCAATGTGTCATACTAACCTGTCAACTTCAATACAGCATAAAATAAATCCCATGAAAAGTTTATTATCGGTTCTTTTCCTTCACCCAATTATTTCATGAGCTTTATGCTTCTTCTGTCACGTAAACATTATTTGCTGTTTTGTAAGCCGACTTTTTCTTTTCAACCTGTGTCCCACTCATTCAAAAGCTCTTCTCTAGCTTGAAGCATTTCGCGTACCACCGGCCAGATGCCTGGGTTCCCTTGGTTAAAAATCCCTGATCTAGTTTGAACTACGAAATAGTTTTAATCGGAAAACTGAACGAAAGTTTCTACGTGTAACGAGTAAAGCTCAGCATTGGACAGCAATCCATCACTCCGAAAATCCATATTCAAGAGCGTTGACTTCGTTAAAATTGAAGCGTATTCAACGTATTCCTTAAACTTCTGCATAACAGATTTCGTAACGGCATAGTTCGTTAAACTCTAGTGCCCATTGTTTGCTTCAACGTAGCCGTGGTATCAGCGACGATTTCCCACACTCCCACGATGTTAATGAGGGACGTGATCAGTCTTCCTAGCGAACGTCTCTCAAGGAAAGAATTTTGTGTTTGCTTCAATGGTTTCCTAATTTAACTCGTAGGGATACAGGTGACGCTTAATGAGGAGGGATTTCTGTTTTGTTTTTTCTTTTTTGGGTGAAAGACTTCAGTGCACCTTCGCCTCATTTGCTTTTGAGGGAGAAATGCTGTCCATTAGTGAATTGTAGTCGTAATATATAGCTGAATTGATCATAAACTCAGTAGAGTATAGTCAAACCCCGATAAGACGCCACCATCTGCCCAGAGAAATTTTGGCATTTTAAAGGCGTTGGCAGTTTATCGAATATTTCATTTTAAATTATTTGATGAAAAATGCTCAATTTTCCTCCAAAAGTGATAGAGATATAGGTTTCTATGCAAACTTCAGTAATTTTCCAAAGAGAAAATTAAATTAAAGCTTTGATCAATGGATTACTCTTTCAGAAAATTAATTTTGCTGCATCAATTTATTCAGATTTTAAGATTAGGTCAATATATTGTTCAAATTTTTTAACAAAATGATCATTTTTTTTATTCTTACAAATACAAGATTCTTATTGACAGGAATTATAATTCTGCCCCAATGTTGGCATTGTAATGAAGAGAAAACTAATAGGAAACAGCATTTTTGTTTCATCTTTAATGCTGGCAGATGGCAGTTGGCGTCTTATTGCATGGAGGGGATTTGTTTCATTCAAAATTTTGGCATTTGCCGAGGATGGCGCTTTATTGGGGGGCGTCTTAACGGGGTTTGACCGTAATTTCAACACCGGTGACTTATTCTGTTATACACTTTTAAGTCGCTTTACATGTAGCGTCAATTTGAGGAGTAATGTACTGTATCTTCTTGCTACCTACCCATTTTTGCGTCTTTCTTCGGAAAATTTGGCATTGAGACTGGAAGTGTATTTTAGAACATGGCTTCCAACTTTTCTGGATTATCTCCAACAACAAAAAAAGGATTAAGGAAATACAAGTTCTTACCTATTTTATATTAGATTTATGCAGTCAGTTGGGATTGTGTCAGTGATACAAGTAAACTCCTCTACTTTCATGGTTCTCTTTCGCCGTTATGACGTATTTCACTTATATTTTCATACGCTTTCACCTTCTGATTCAAATTTTTTCCAATTACCCTTCACTCCAGAAAATGTTTGCATACCACCTGTCCGAATGCCGAATTTAACCATCGGCAGTTAAAATCACAATCAACAGTGGAAATGCCCTGTTTTTCTCCATCAAGAAGAAAATTAGCTTGTTACGAAAAGTTGTCTCATTTTCAGGAACTCCAATTCAGTGCTCTAAAAGCGTGGCTTAAATAGAAAAAAAATTAAACTTGCGAGGTTAATATAGCTCTGTTTTTTTATATCACTGCGGAAATTTTTCCATAAATAGGAGTACTTTTTGGCAGGGTAACAGCAAGATAATTATTCCGGTCTGCTGTGTTCGGATCCAACCATGTGTAACCGAAACAAATTCTACTTCAACGTTTCAGTTGCCAGCCTTGAAAATATAGCACATTTTAATGAAACAGGTTTTAAATTCTCGGGCACATTACGATTCGGTTCTCACCCTAAAAAATTGTTGGAAGTTTTTCGGAAATTTGAGAATTTTAAATTTGATTTATACTGAAAACCGATAAGTGCTACGATGCGGATTCGTTTCTCTTAGCGCTTGTGGCTAGAAAGAGGTCACCGAACCAGAAAGCGACGAGGTTCAACCATTACAGGAGCTTGAGCAAATTGGTTTGTAGAAGAAAGTAATTATCTTGCCAACAGAGGAACTGGTATCGTCTGCGTCTCCGGCTATTGAGGACACGTCCGACGCAACCCCGAAAAACGAAAGCGTTTCCGAGAAGACCCAAGTGGACGAGGCCTCATCGTCATCCCCGTCGTCGACCTCTGAATCTACCACCGCGTCTACTAGTAGTGCTCCCACAACTGCTTCTACCACTACCGCTACCACCACCACTGAACCGCCAAGAACGACAACGACGACAGTGACAACTACAACGACAACCACGGAGAAGCCGTCCACGGAATCACCCCCACAGGAACCGTCCCCGAGTGAAGACCAGTTCCCGTCTTCAGTGCTGGAGATCGTTAGCATTAGTCATAATCAGACTACTCTGCGATTACCGGACACTCTGGGCGGACAATTGTATCTGGTGACGAGGGAGAGGTACGCAGGTAGTTCCACGCGTTGGGACCAGTTGTCCATCCCCGCTGGGGCTCACTCCTACACCGTCATGCATCTCCTTCCTGGTACTGAATATCTCATGCGTTGGAATACGCCAGACTCCATGACACCGGCAGCGTCTTTTCGTACCCAAGGTGAGTACAGTATACTTCCTTCGAGCGGGCAATAGCCAAATAACACCAGGCTGCCGTCGCCAAATAATTGCTGGTGGTCTCGCAATCCCTCGCATCCTGGATTTTTTTGTGGGTGCTAGAATACAGTATTACCGTATACGACTATGCGTGATTCGATAATCAAGGGAAGCTTCGGAAATCTCTCTCTTCTCTCTTTTTACCCACTTCCAATTGTTCGATAGACTGAACATTTTGTATGCACGTTCATCATCCATGACAGTGCAGAATGTTTTTCATCGGCTTTAATGTACAAGTTGACAAGTCCGGCAGAGTCGGTGCTAACTGCTGACTTCGTTCCGCATTTATTTAGAAATTAGTTCAACAATGTTTTACTAATACACGCAAACTCACTCAACGACGAAATTCCAGGGACTATAAAAAAATGTAGAAAAAAATCGTAGAGAGAATTTCGTCGTGGAGAACCCGTTTAACATGGGTTATAGAACCCTATATGGGACCACAAACAAAGTCGTTATGCAGAGAAAATCGTTGTAGAGAGAGAGAGTTTACCGGTATATATTTCAATATTGCGCTATTTAGTTTTAATTCTTTGTTAATTTAAATCTTCTCGCTTCAACTTTGCTTTCTCGAATATCGGGCGTACGTCGCCTAAATTACCCCGATCGAAAACAATCAAACGTAACTCAACCCAATGAAACTTGACACAATTCAGATGGTCTACAAAGTCAGGAAAGTTGAGAATAGCAGTTGAAGTCGAACGCTTTATTCTTTGTTATTCCTGGCTCTGACGGAAACCATTCAAATTTAAATATAATTTGTGAAACTGTGCAGCTGAGGAATTTACTTTCTTTTGAATGATGAATATGGTTCCATGTAAATCCATCGCAAGCAAATTTGTTTTTCGTATTTTTATATTTTCTTCAAAGCGGAGGTATTTTTGATTTATGTATGAAATGAAAGTCCAAGTGCAGGCGTAAATGTGCTAAACAATTTGCTCGAAGGTACGCCCTTATTAGATTAATAACATAATCGCCGCTTAATAATCGCCGCTCGCGGTCTGGTTGAAATGCCAGACGAGAACTCGAGAAGACGTGGAGAAGTGTTCAGGCTTCGTGTACTCGTCGCTGTTATTGATTTGATTATGATAGTGAATCATAATTTCAATAGATATTGTATTTGTGTACTCATGGAATACCTGGAACACTGAGGCAGCCAACTTTCCGCGAAGAGCACTCATGTCCATTTTAGACGCATGCGCAATCGGGTATGCAAGAGTTGGAGGTCACAAGCGACCGAATGGCTCTCAATATTCAAGTGATGAATCAATATTTTGAAGTACAGATTAGGTTTCTTTGCAAGAACTTGATTTTTAATTTTGAGGTTATTTGGCTGAGGTAATCAAGAGCTCAGATTAATGGAAAAAGGACCGACCCAGCGGAGAACTGGTCAGGTTTTATGTTTTTTGATGCTGGCATAGCTTCTAGTTGTGATCTACAAAGTCAAAATCTCCGGTGCTTGACTCCTGGCCTGATTTTTTTTATTCAGCTAACGGCAGTCGTGTTTTTATTGAAATAATTGAGAATTTTTATGAATTGAAATTTCTCGAGAATTGAGGTAGGATTCAATCGAAAAATGCCGAGCTTTTCGAGATCCAATTGCTAAGAAGGCAGAACTGAAATCGCTGAAGCTTTCGGAATAATGTTCCGGTCAATTGTCCCCGTTTCCCGTGGGCAGTGATTTCCTAATACGCGACCGAAGCGATTTGCGGGGAAGGTGAAAGTACCGTGTAACTGCAAAAAGACCACTGGATTTTCTTTCGCCGAGTCACGTGGACTTTAATTTACGAGTAAACTCGGCCTCCCCGTTTCGTTCTGACGTGTTAAAATTTACGGACTTTTTTTGCCGACCTTTGGACGATTTAATGCGAATATTTTCATTCCATTTACTGTTGCTTTTGATGGCTTTGGAATTTATAGTTTCCGTGAACTGCGTTCGTCATTCAAGCTGCAAAATTCCCTCTCGCCCTAATGCACGAGGGTAGTTCATAAGTTCTTTCATTCTTGTGATTCCCTTGTTTGATGGCTACTTCGCTAGTGATCAACATGATTTTTTACGGTGCAATACAGTACTTGATTTTCACTGATATATACTCACCCAATTTTCATCACCAAGGTGGAGTGAGTGGAAGACAATTTTTCCCGCTCTGCGAAGAGTTTTTTCTGCCACACTTGCATATTTCACGTAGCATATTTGCATATTTCATTGGAAGTCCGAAGGGAGTTGAACAAGTCATACCATAAAAAGCTCTTCTTATTGACGCTGTTCTACATCTGAACAGCGTGTTCGAGCGGAAAAAAGTTCTGACTTTGTTCTGCTCATAAATTGAAAGGATGTTCCTGAAGTATCAATTAATCAGCAATAAGATACCCAAGGTTGGGCTGTAATGGGAGAATATCCTTGGCATACGGACAGAGCCTTTCAGCGAGTATTGCCTTTTTATCTCCCAGCGGTTCGTATAGGAGTCTGACAGAAATTTAAACACATAAAGACACTCTGCCTCTTGCTTGATTTTATGCAAAAGCATCATCTTGGAAATTGTGCTGTGATTTTCTTTCTATCAATTCGAAATACAAATGGTGGTAAGGGTACCTGTTATTGTGCATTTGTGAAAATGGCTTCCCGAATCATATGCACTGCTAGTACTGTATCAGCATCCAGAAAATGATTTCAAGACCGAATCTTGTAATATTGTATTGCATGTAACTTGTAATATTCGTGAAAAATACTTTTCCGTTCATCTTCAAATTAAATCTTTTCGTTTTGCGAGGAATAAACCCTTGGATACTGCGATGGGATCGAGTCCGTACTCAAGTTTTAATGACATCGTAGCGCATTTCTGCATGGAGTTGTTCGGCAAATAGAGCGATTAGATTTACGAGAATACCATGATCTATGATTAGATTATCAGGAACTTTTATGCGATGAAAACTTCCTCATTCGTCTTCATCAATACCAACTTGCTCGTTTTCACAGATGGCTGTGTTGTGGAAGATACATCCTATGGTACTGACGAGAGCTACTCAGTCGGGTGCGTGAGCTTGTGCAAATGTCAATCGAGTGGGAAGGTTGAGTGCACACAACGTTGTCGGCACTTGCGGGGTCAACTGGAGCTGGGTTCCGATTGTCAGGAAGTTCCTGACCCGGCTGATCCTCTTTGCTGTGTCGTGAAACAATGCATACCCTCTACGACAACGACGACGACGACGACTACCACCACGACTACAACCACGACTCCAGGTAAGATGGTCTTGTTAACACGCCGTCGTTTTGGAAAACGTTGATCATTTATTCGGAGAACAGAATTTATTTAAAATTCACTCTTCTGTCCTTTTTGATGAATTGCGCCCAGTTGAAGACGGGCAAGCGTTCATGTACCCGCACCTGGTTGAGTAGTTTACCACCTGCGCATTGCCCTCCCGGGGTCAGGGCTTCAATTTCCACCTAGAGCTTCCTCTAACTTCAGTTGAACACATGGCATTTCACTAGTAGAATGCTTCATAATTGGCTTTCAAATCGTGAATTTCCCAATGAATAATTCAGCCAGTCTCTCTCACAGAGCAGAACTACTTTAAACTCAGTTTATGAACACGGGAGTTTACGTTAACACTCAACGTCCTTGATTTTATCATGAACGTTACTGCGTGCCTGCGTGCCTCCTCGAAATTGCTCGATAACCGATTAAAACCTTAGAAAATTTCTTCATACAGAGTATTTCGATAGTTATTTTGAAGTAATTTAGCTCTTATTGGATACGTAATTGAATAAAAAAAATAAAAGCTTTACGAAAAATGTATGAAATCCTCATACATTCGGACGTGTCTGCTATACCTGCATGGAGGACATTTTCAGCTTTTTCGGAAAACGGAAGTGTAATATAAATTATTTTCAAACATTTCCAAAAGTAAAACCTTTTCATTACATGATACCATTTTTAACTCCTTGTGTTCATTTTTATTACGGAGATTTGAACTTCTGAATAGAGTATTTTGTTCAGCATTGTTGACTTCTTTCTGTGCGTGATGCTTCCGAGCCGAAGGCTTGGTTAAAGTGTTTCCTTGACCCTTGTCCTGCAACAAGACTTCGAGCATTTTTGAAAAGTAAGAATGCACATTTTGTGATCAAAGAGCATTCGTCGTAGTCGTAATGCATGTGATCGAGAGATCCTCAATTGGACTTCGTATAATCGATGTTTCATTTGAAACTATCGTATATTGCTTCGAAACTTCGATAACCTGTAAGATTCAAATGGAATTAGCCAGTGTCCATTCCTCTTTCAAGTGCAAATCCGGTTGAGAACATGGATATCTTGATGCATTAGTATCAATTCCATTGATTGATGAAAAACAGATGTGGCACAAGGATCGAGTTAAGTTGATGTATTTTTCAAGCCTCAGACTATACCTCGGACATTCATTTCCACCTCCCCGTTTCTTGTTTTCACGAATCGAACCATCGTAGAATGTGATTCGTGCCAGTTTTTCTTCCGACTATCTTATTGAAAAATAGAGATGGCGTCGTAAAAAAGTTGCTTTTTAACCCAAAATGTTTGCTGAAAGATTGATTGCATCTTATGTACGGGTGTGTGGAAAATTTCGGGGCGGTTTTCTCCAATGTTCAATTGAAAAGGTAAAACCTGGGCAAGTTGAACATGAGATCGATATAGTGCACGAGTATTGTGTCGAACACAGTGCTTGTCAAAACAGAGCGCTCATGTTTTCATAGCTATTGTAGTTTTGGAATTTGAAAATATAATGTGGGCATGAATCCGACTTCGTAATTGTGTATTTTGCGCTCCTAAATGTTACGCTTGTAAAAACGTCACAAATCGGGAAGTATTTCCATGATTCTTCTGACAAAAATTATTAACGGGTCTTACGGATGCGTTTGTGGGGCATGAGTGAATAAACGTTGTTCTCTGTGCATCGTTCATTAGCACCTGTGAAAATTGACGTCGTTGCGGACCCCAAAGAGAACATAGCCGAAGGCCGTGACTTCGACCGTCTGCCAAATCTCTTGGTGACGGAGACGACGTTCCAGAGCTTCACTGTAGCTTGGGACGAGTTTCATCCGCGGTCTCACTCTCAAGGATATCTGGTCCAGTACAGGAGGGCGCCGGAAGTCGGTTCGACGGCGGTGATCACGTGGCACGACATCCCAGACAACGGCGATCGGCCCCTAGTCAAGGTTGACGGCTTGCTGCCCAACACCGACTACGAAGTGCGCGTGTCCATCGCTGGTGATTTCCTGCCTCCCGTCTCTACTCCTACCATCAGCGTTACGACCAAGAGTAAGTCTGCTTTCGTTAACTTTTTATACCCCCGAGGGCACTTAGTGCTACACAAGAGATCCGACTGCTCTGATTGTAGAAAACGAATCCATCTAAATGGGGAGATATCCTCTGCTTACCTGATGGAAAGAAAACGTCAAAGAGCCATGCGTATTAGTCACAAGTGTTGATTTAATTCACGTTCACAGAAGAGGCGGGAAATTTGTGATCTTTGTGACAAAAAAAAATGTCTACTCTATACTTGGTCTTATCGAAATTTCGAATCGATCCAGGGAGGGTAAATGTCAAAACTGATCATGCATCGTAATTTTACAGGAAAGACAAGTTGCACGCGTGCTTCCGGGGTCCTCTTGTGCATGCATAGGCACTGCTGCTACAAAATTATAGTACTTGGGTACAGGGTTTCACTGGGTTCCAAAAATAATCAAACATGAATGCTGTGAGCCTAGTTTTTGATTATTTCAAGAAAATAATCATAGACCTTCTTGGCATGTTTACGATCAACTTCGACGATTATCTGATAGCATTTCTCCCAATATTCGAGTTTTGACGCGGATAAATTGCTACTTTTTCACTGCAAATGCAAAATAGCTTTCAGGGCACCCGAATACATTGGGCTGTGCTGCCTTGAAAACTTTGAATTTACGTCTTTAAAATACATTTGTTAATATTTCAACTCATCTCTGAAAATTGATGAAATACAGTTTAATGAGGGTATGTTCTTAGGAATTGAGAAAATGAAACGAATTGTGTCATATTACGAGTACTGTGCACGCGTTTGCTCCTGTTTCACGCTCACCTTTCCCCCAAACGTGGATGTAAAAATTACGAATACAAGCTAAAAATCTGGCTCACGAGGAATTCTATCCCGATTTTTCGTGTAAAGATCCTACTGCGCGTCTTACACAGCGGGACGTGGTGCAGGAATGCAAGTTATTTCAAATGCTTTTTGTTCCTGCTCAGTGGGATGCGTGCAGAATGGAACGAGTTACGACGTCGGCGCCGAGACCCGAATCATGTGTGACAAACTTTGCCGGTGCTTGAAGAACGGGTCCATGACGTGTTCTCCGAGCTGCGTGGCACCGTTTGTGCCCAAGGGTTCCGTGAACGTGACGAGCGAGTGCCAGGAGCGGGCTGACGGGGACGACGGCTGCTGCGTCATCATATCCTGCACTCAGCCTACTTCCGCGTCCAGTACCACGATCCGTGAGTTGCGCTTGTGCGAATCAATCGGGGACTCCCTAAGAACTTTGAACATGGCGTGCCGGACTGGACGTCCGTTGCCAAAGTACAGGAAACGGAGTGTTCCAGCGGGAATAGCTAAAATAAACTTTGACTGCCGCAAAACTGACTTTAGGCACAGAAAATGTTGACCTCATGGATTTTCAAAATGCATATTGTACACTCTGCCACTTTATACGGGTAAACTCTCCCTACAGTGAAACTCAAAGGAACCAGTAGAAAAAAATCGTTGAAGAGATAATTTAGTTTTAGAGAATCCCTAAAACGTGGAGAGAGAAACCTATGCGGTCTATGGGATAAAAAAAATCGCTATACGGAGAAAATTGACGTAGAGAAGATTGTTGTAGAGAGAATCCACCTGCATTACGTATGGTTATAATGGCTATTTGAAAATCACACCAGCAAACGCTTCAAAATTGCTGTGTGTTTCATTTTTATAGAATCACATACTAAATAGGCAAAGGAAGAGGAGCAAACTTTCCTTGATTAATGTGACGATTTTACTCGTAATATTGTTAATAATTAACTGATGAGCTGTTATTTTTAATGATTTGTTTATCCGTGAATATTTTTCATGAGAATTTCCCGGGACTTCTTAAGAATTTGTACTAGGCACTATAGCCTGGACATCAGCATCCGAAAGAGGATGAAAATACGATTCGAATTCAAGTACAAGTATTAAATAACTGAATTAAGTGATGTTGAATTTAGATTCGAAAAAACGTTCGTTCATTCGTTTTCGAGATGTGCGTACGTTGGAATCCGTGAAAAAATCAAAGTTGTCTGTTCATTCTTCAATTGAATTTTAAAAATCATCAAGCCAAATGCGAAATAAGCAGGCCTTTCCACGTACATCTTGAGATTAATGTTTTTTATTTGAAATTTATCCAAATTTGTCTGCTTGAATGCGTTCCGTCGGTTGAAAAACTACTGCAATAGAGGTAAATTTGGCCAAAGTACGTCCGGGACTTCCTAGAAATTCGATACTTGCTACCCAGACTGGATATTAGGACTTGAAATCTTGCGTTGACTGGGCTTGGCCGTTCCGTGTTTCCACGAAATACTGTACTGTAATAGCAAGTCATAGGCGAAACCTTAGCCTAGCGAAATTTTTAAGCACCAGAGTTTTTTTTTTATCCACGTTTACAAAGTATTCCTACCTCGGATCTCACGATAGAAATCGTTTTAGATTCGGAAGATATCATTGAAAATTTGTATTAATTTTACGCGGTGTATTCAAGTTCCATCTGCGTCGGGGTTCCTCTTAGGTTCACCGGAGGATTGATACAGTCGAAGAAAGCCGGGTTAATTGTGCTCCAAGCGGAGCTTAAAATGTAGAAGCATAAAAGGAGACCGATGTTTTGTTCTATTTGGGCGAACTTAATCATCTAAATTTCTAAAAGAATCCTTCTACCACTGATTTTCCCAAAAGATTCAATGGAAAACCTGTCACACTTCCCATCTCCAAAGCTTTCAGCGTAAAATCAAATCCTAACTTATGCATTTTTTTAAATAAGAAACAAGACTCACATATCTTAGTCTTTGCGAAATTTGAGGAAGAAATGGTGATCTTTCGCATGTTTCTGAAAAAAATATACTGTACTGCTATAAATGGAATGATCAACGCAATCAAGAACAATGGCGAACACGAAAATACCGTCATCGAAACATATGTTGAAAAAGAATGCCATTTATCGCATGCTAGGTACACGTGTCTTCGTCCGACGTGAGTCCTGTGTCGAGGCAAATAAACGTTATTTTCTCGTGGAGTCCGAGTGTGTATTCGTACGGTTTCATTTGTGGACAGTACAGTATGACAAGCGAGCCGAGAGAGATCTGTAGTTAAAAAAATAAAATAAAAACGTCGGAAGTATGCAGGATAATGGGGATGAGCAAGAAAAAAGAGAAGAAAAGAAAGAACAAGGCTTTTGGGTGTGTTCGGGACGTGCAAGCATAATTGAGAGCCAGCCTAGGTCGCTCACCCTGCTGTGCTCAGGACTGATACTGGCGCATGTTTTATTGCTCCAAAGAATTCGGTTCACGCCGACAATGATTGCATCCTTTCGCTTTTCGGGCGCAAATGCATTCTTCTGGTTTCAAACGCTTTTCTTTGTGGTTTAGTCCGTTCGGAACTTTTCGCAAGCATCCGTTCACCAGTTGATTCTGCATCAGCTTCGAGCGAATGCCGAGATACAGCTCGACCAGTCCGTGAGCAACGAACACCTCGTTTAAAATGCCGCGTAGTCGTTACTCCTTTTTTTTTTCTAAGGATTACGAACGGCTTCTCGAAAATACAACCCGGAATTGTCCCTGAACGCGCCCATTTCGTTCTTTCTCTCGATACTGCGTCGTCTCTCTTCGAAGACAGTGAATAATGTCGAACACCTTCGTTCCCTCTTGCACGTTTATACTAGCGTGAAAACATTTTAAAAATCTTGGTAATGTCTGAGAACATGCGCAGAACTACTCGCTTTCTACTAAACGTGCTCCAACGATTGTGCATTGTCTCGATTTTTGAAGGCAACGCTGGAGCTGGTATCCCCGTGCATTTTCATTTTATGTTCCGCAATTTGTTCCATGTCTTACAATTTAGCGCTTTTCATAGACGCTACGCACGGATAAAACACGTTTGATGTGAAATTTTCCGCTCGTAACCAATGAAGCTTGTCCTACATCCGTACCGATATTTCGAAAAATCATGTTTATGCAATTGCTGACAGCATTCGGACTTATGATTGGGTCTTGATAGAAAAAAGAACAATTGGATATTTTAAGTGCGCACTCACGCATGTGAACGCTGGCGAAACATGATACTTTTTTGAAAGAGCAGACATTTAAGAAAAACAGTGATGGCACCATATGTTGTAATCCTGCAGAGGATGAGGAGATGAGTTTTTGTGTAATGAGAATACTTCAATTCTCACTGATTTTGCAGGTCTAAGATAATTATGATTACATATCGCGTCTTATGTACCGCCGTGTGCTCCATCTCTGAAGGCAATGCGATCAATTGAATCTTTAATTAGAAAAGAATCAAGTTTCCTCTCGAAAATCTTCATCTGGTCTCCACGTTTGATGTTCAGTGGAAAGAGAATCTGGGTCTATGGGTGCAAGTTTTTGGGTGCTCGGGAAGAAAAAGTGGACGATTCTTTTCCGTAATCAACAACGGGATGAACGACACTTTTTCTTGAAAATACTGTACAGTACAGTACAGTACAGCGTTTTAGGCTCAGGAGTTTTCCGGGCCGGAATGCGTCATCCCAGAAGTAACCCGAAGCGGGATCGTGAGTGTTCGTCGACGATCTGTTGAAAAGTTGAGGCATATCCGAATGAATGTTCTGTGACTCCAGAAACTGCAATATCATGGATTTATTAATCGAAACTGACGTCTACATTTAATTGGCCGAGGTTATACAGCCCACCACGATGCAAAGTGAGACCCCCAGATGCGGACGTAATTGATGCTTCAAGAGTGTCCTGATATCAGAATGTTCCAAAGTCAAGTCTAATTTTCCCTTAGACTTCAATGCTAATGTATTTGATTGGTTCTCTTTTTTGTCAAAAATTAGAAATGAGTCCTCAAAAAATGTAATAAAAATAGTTTCCCTTGACCTCTAGTTCTAGAAAACAACAGTGCAGAACAAAACCACCTAGAATCTGATCTTTTGGTATCAAAAGGAGATCAATAAGCAAAAAAAGTCTAGTTAGAATATGCGCAGATGATGGAAAAAAAACTCTGAAAGAAGAAGCACAAAATCAGCTTGCTTTTGATTATGAATTAGAGTGAATTTATCCTGACATATTTTTCAGTTTTTGTGAATGTAAATCGCTTGATTTATTCAAAAGCAAGTGAAATTTAAAGTAAAATTTTTTGATTTTTTGTGAAAATTTTAGAAAAGTGTCCCTAACTCGAGCCAATGTCCTGATGTTAAGCCTGATTTTTTGGGTTTCAAGTGTCCCTGAGTCAAATTGTCCATATGTCGATAGGTGTCCGCTTATTATTGGGGTCTCACTATATACGCACGAAGAACCTCGATTATGCTGGCTTCGAATAACCGTGGATTATATTAATTCTGCAAAATGTGATCTCCAATAGGAGAAAAAAGCCTAATTTGATTTGAATCAATCAATTTTCTCCACAATCACCTGCGTTTTGTAAATATTTTCATGCAGATCTTAGGGATAACGCGTAGCTTAATTAAACTAATGCGGTGAATTGTTAAAATAAAATATTTAAAAAATCATGAGAATGAAAGAAAAAAAATCACCAGGGAATAAAAACAATAGATTTTCAAAGAAAATAAATAAGGGCATCTGGTACATGTGTTCTTCGACATTTCAGTGGATGTGCTGGGTGATATCACGGTGAGTTATTCCTAAATAATTTCCGTTTTCATCATGCAGTGCCCATCTTCTAGCTCAATTGCCCCTGATACTCTATTATGATATTTAAACAAAGACGCCGGGCCATTAGCTAAGATAATTGGATTTGAACTGCGTAATTGACTTGCGAAATGAGCCAAAAATGTCGTTCTCGCCATAAAGTTGTCAAAAGGCTGCTCGTGAATCGACGAAGGCGGAACCAAATTATCTGTTGAAATATCGTCGAACAGTCGAATGCATGTAATTCATGTTCCAGAGAGCATTTTTCAACCGAAAACGACATTACGTGTGATGAAAGCTTGCGCGTGCGTCACGTTCTCACAATCGTCATGTGTGACCTTTCTGCCGTGGATAAACGGGTGGTTTGTTGCTGCCATCGGTCGGTTTTTGATCCACGCAAAAGTGCATTGCGCCATAAATAATTAATCTTTCGCGGCTTCTGTTTTTCGTCGGGTGTATTATTTATCGCTGGCTTTCCAACAATTTGCCCCAATTTTCCGCTGACATTTTGTTTTCTGCAAATTTACCGGCCGGTTGGTGTTTCCGCATTGTTTTTTTCTCCAATCCGGATGCCCATGTAAAAAGCGTTTTCGTTCAACTGCTGGTGAAGGCACAGAAGTAAAAGACGTGTCTGATCCCGGAAGATCAGGAAGTCTGTATTTTTACCGCGAGGAATTACTTCCTGCTCACAGAGTAAAGATAAAACCGCATAAGTTTATCGTGTCGCGATTTTGTTTGCACCCGCAGCGCAATATCGATGGCACTCCTTTTTATTGCTTTATTAACTGCTCGAGGACTTGATTGGTCATGTTCCAGATTTCTGCGTCAACTGCGGAACTGATACAGTAACTGCAATATTCTCTCGAACGTATTACGCCGTTGATTATAAGATGTACTGTACTTTCTTTAATTTTCATGCGCCGCGAGAGTAGAAAAGCGTATGAATGCATCAACTCCATAACAATTTTTCGAGTAGACAATGCAAATCTTGTGTCTTTTACAGTTTAATCTGATCCAATACTGAAAATAGGAATAATAACTCTGACTCATTTGCCATTGAACATCAATTATTTGGCACTCATCTATGGAAGTTCGAATCGTTTATCTACTCTGATTAAGTTACTTGTCTATTATAAGCCTAGGGGTTCTCTGAGCCTGGAAAACTTGCCTGGGTCTCAGTTTGGGTAACTCCACTTGAACAAGCCAAAAATTAGTGAGGTACTGTAGTTATGTTTTCTTGATCATATAATGCAGTAGGTATTTTTTTAATTTCATGGAAGGCCTTGAAAAGCGATAATGTTCAGAATACACACATATTTAGCAATGTAGTTCATTATCTTTACAATTATCGACATGTCTTCGTCTTTCATTATTTTTGCTCTGAGAGTACTGAGACAGTTGAAAATTGTGACAAGGGTTCGTTCAGTTTAATTTGTAACATTATTATTTAACGTGATAGATCGTGTTGACCACGAAAACTCTCTTTGTATGCGAATCGTAGATGCCATCGAAAATTTACCGTAGTTTTTAAAACCGAGAATGCAAGAAATCAATTGCAAAGTTTTTACTTCACTTCCCTCCGAAATGCTTTCATACCTGTATTTTGTCTGAATATCGCTCTTTCAATCTGTTCATTGTAAAGGTTATCAAAGGGGATTCCCGGTCTGTTGTCGAAAGTAATGAGTGCATCCGGTGCAATGTTATTCGTGGGAAATCCGGATCGCGTGAGAGAATCATTAATTTTTGCTTTTCTTTCAGCTACTGATGCTCCAGGTGGTGATGACGTATGCAAGGCTGGCAACGCGACTTACAACGTCGGCGACGAGTTTTTCGACGGCTGTGAGTCAAGATGCATCTGCTCAGCGTCGTCGCAAATAGAGTGTCAGGTACTTGAGTTTTTTGAATATTCAATGCATGTAACGAGGTTGAAAATTAAATTCATCCAGGAAGCGAACTAATGAAACGTGGCGAAGAAGTTGTTTCATTTTTACCACAGGAGCGAGTATTGAAGGATGACTTCTAACGAGAGGAATCACAAAAGAGCAATTAAAAATGAATAAGGAAATTATTGAAGGAATGTAAAATCCACAAAACACAAATTTCTCAAAAAGCAAATGTGAATAACGCAACTAAACCTGACCTCACCCGAACTAAAAATTTCCGACAGCTGTTTTGACACTTTCTCTTTTGTATGCCTGAATTCTGAATACAGTAGTTGCTTTTTCATATTCCTGTTATTTTCAAGTTGGCTCTTTTGGGGACATTTTTATCGAATTCATATAAATTCTTAGACTTGTTATATTTTTCGTTTGAGAATCCCTCCTCTGACTTGATCTTTTAAGCATTTTCCTCTGATACAATAGTTCATTTTTGAGACGACGTTTTTGTTGAGCTCCATCTGATGTTGGCTGAGATTCATGAAGACGGAAAGGGAAAATAACCTTTCTGGGTGCATATATACTCAAGAACTTGAGTTGAGCACGAAACCCTGAGAATATTATTTAACAGCAGAAGTCTGGGATACATAGGATTATTATAAGGGCGAAATAGAGACGCTTTGCGGATTGCGGAGATTGACTTGAAAATTTCTTCAATCGCACGATTCGCGGCATTTTAACGCTCAATGTTACTCATTTGAATGATCATTTTCCTTTCTTCAGCCAAGATGCGCTGTGAGAACGCATTCCTCGGTACCGCCTGGCTGTTCTTTGGGGACAGACCCCAAGGATTCTTGCTGTTCGGTCATATCGTGTGAGAACGGCGTTGGCTCGGGAAGCCCTATGCGAGACGGTGAGTCTTGCATTCTGCTTGATCTTCCACTAGCTGATGAATTATTCATGGTTCCGGGGGCCTGCACGCTTTCTCTTACTCGGCCGCGCAAGAGCCGAATCTATTTGTACGCCTCGACCCGGGGACCATAATTATTATGTCTGCATCGCTAATGACCCCGATGTGGCTGAAGTCGATACGTTTCATTTATATAGACGTTCGGAATCTCTTGAGAAATTCGTGATGCGACCGCTTCTCGTTTTGTCCCTTCTTAAGGCATGAGAACTCCGAGTCTAGAAATTTTGATGCTAGTCCCCGTTCTGAAATTTTTATGCATTTCAAAAAACTGAACGATTTATGCGTGCATCTCTTCGCACTTTCTGATGTTTGAACGTCCAGGGTTCGCAACCTGTCATGACGTGCATGTTTATGTTGTATGAGGCAAGGTCGTGGGGCTCTCCTGGGTATTTCTCATGCCTCGCGGCAGAGTTTCTCAAAATTTTTGATCCAAAGAGCCCTTCCTACCGTTGAAATTCTATGGCGAGGGATTTTTCCGACGAATACTGTATCTATGCCAGAGCTCCTTTGGCTCACGCAATCTCTTGAAAATTATCTCCTTCTCTCCCAAAAATTGAATCCTCCCGTCTGCATGGTTTTTCTATTGAGTAACGGGCATACAACTTCCTGCACATTCTTTTTTGGCGCTACTTAAAAATATATAAGAATGGGTTTATTTTTCTCTGATCAATCGATTTCTCAAGCCTCGCCTGCTCAATATATTCGAGATCGACTGAAATGCAAATCTGAGCGAAAGGTTGGATGACATGTTTCCGCCATGAAGATTGCCGTTACGATGGACTTTTCTTAAAGTTCTGGCAGAAACTCGATAGATTCAATGTTTTGAAAAACTATGAAATATTTAAGCAAGGAGCAGTAAAAAAAAATCAGTACAACACAAAATTTCAGAAATATACTGCTTGTTTGGAATTTTATGCATTAAAAATACAAGTAATGCCCCACGCTTTTCAATGCTTGGCCAGCAAAACTTTTGGAGAGTCAAAGGTTGAAAATGTGCGCTCTAGTGCACTCTTGTATTGGCAAGAAATTTGAACATCGCTCCCAAAACTCGGTACCACGATTTTGCCGGAAAGAAGAACTTCCGAGTAGGGCATAATGGACGGATTTTGTTGGAAACACTGCTTAAACGGATACATTTCATTCTGACTATTTAAGGCGGAGAAGAAAAATTATTCAACTTATTCCCAAGAGATCTCCATGCAGCGAACTTTTCTGCAGAGCACGTGCTCTGCGAGCTCATTGTAACGGGACTTCACCTTGAAACACTAGTGACAATTACGTTACAGTACAGTACTAAATAGTTATTTCTTGTTTATCTGTTAAATACTGTACCTCAATGCATTTTCAAGGCAAAATTCCGCAAAGCACAGGCCGATGAAACCTCGTACTCGCTCATGGCCTTGATTTTATCCCGTGGAATTTTGATGGACGTACATTTTTGAAACCGTTGGAGGAACATGACTCCTTGCCAGACAGATTGAAAGCATTATCGACGATTGATTAAAATCTGAATTAATACAGGCAACAAAGTATCAGTGCCAACGCTGCCTTTCGAGGGATGCATATACAAGAATAAAACCTACCAGAAACTGGAGCGGTTTCACGATGGCTGTGAGCGCCAGTGTCAGTGCATTGGGTACGACGACATCTCGTGTCTACCAAGGTGACTATCCAAGCGCGTAGCTTCCGTCATTCACAGGTGTCGTTCTAATTTTAAAATAATTCATTGACGAAGTAGATGTCCTCCGCTCCAAAACGCGACCGTGAAACCAGATTGCGTCACACTTCCGGACCCATTGGACTCATGTTGTAAAGTAACAATTTGTGGCTCTGCTTCGTTGGACGTGAATCGAACGAATCCTGTTTCTGGTGGGTAATTAAATTACTTCGAAGACTGCTGATCATGTCCAATACTGAATGGTCATGGTTTTCTTTCATTAGGCGAACCAGCTGTCGACGAAAATCCCTCCAATCAACTCCCGAATGACATCGTAGATCGCGCAGATGTCACCAGAACGTCGTTTTCCGGAGTTGGTTTGTACTCGACGACGTCGAATTCCCTGTCGTCGACCAGCACGAATTCGCCGGTTGTCGGCGTGCCTGTCGAACTCAAGTCCGCAGTATTTTTGGACCCTACCGTCGTTCATTTGGATATTCAAATAAAGGACGCCGTAGTCACGGCACTCGAGGACGGTTCTGCCCCGTTAATTCTACACTACGGGACTGACTTGGTGCGCTTCAAACAGAGGTCCGTCTCTTGGACGGATTTACGGAACAACGGGACAGCCGTGGAAACCCGCCTCCCGGAAATGAACCCCGGCGTCCAGTACTTCTTCCAGCTGGAATTCCAAGGGTCTCGGAGTGCGACGGTCACTGCTTCAGCGCCTGAGCAGCCACCTGCAGTCGACGTGACTTCCCCCCGAGCCGAATCGTTTTCAAGTATCGGGGTTGAGGCCAGAAGCTCGGTGTCGGAGATGACGGGCTCAGCGATTGAGCTGACGTCGAAATCGACAGTGGACGGTCGCAGCAGTGGTTGTGAGAACGAAGGCGTCATCTATCCTGTCGGCTCTGAGTTTTACATCGGTTGCGCCTCGAAATGTTACTGCGCTGGACCGTCTTCCCCGCACTGCGTCCCGCGGTGCTGGAAGCAATCAGTACCTTCGGCTGGATCGAATTGCACTGCTGGTCCTGATCCGAATGATCCTTGCTGTACTGTCATTCGATGCTTCCAGCAGCAGCAAGTTGCCACAGGTGAATAATGATTTATAGTTCCCTTCTGAAATTGATGGCTATGCGAAGGAATGGCCCATGGATTTTTAGACTGCAGTGGTGCCTTGGTGGCTGAAGTAGATCCGTATACCAGGGAAAGTCAATTTTTCGAGTAATGGCGGTCTGTACTGCATATAGAACGGCTGATGTGATTGGTTCCGGACATAGAGAAAAACTTTCATTGGAGTAATTTTGGACTAATTTGAATAGTTTTTTTTCCAATTTTTTTTATTCCTGGGAAATTTCCCTCAGGAATAAATAAATAAATGAATTCGAGGCCGTATGATATAAATACAATTTAATTGAAAAAGCAAACATACAGTACTCATAAAAAGGAAAATAATACTCGACACGATTAAAAATATGGAAAGCAGTTATCCACTTGGAAATGCATTGTCAAGTTTCCAGAGACAACTTGGATTCTTTTTACAATATTTTTTGGGAAATCCATTCAGTAAAGCAAGGCTCACTATTCAAAGCAATCATCGGCGTGTGTCAGAGTCTATATGCCACATTTCCATAAAGCTAAATGTTCATTATCTGGAGTACAACTGTAATTTTTTTTTTCAATTTTGATCAAAGCCTCGAAGTCTATAGTGATACTCACTGCTTATTCAGTGTTTCGTACGTGCTTTTGCATCTGCTGCCGATTGCAATGCAATTCTATCCATAGAAAAACATTTAGTGTTGTAAATAGGGAACTTCAACCCCCCTTCCTCAAATATTTTCTCCGGGAAAAGTTGAAAACTTTACTTGCGCACTCTTTGCTGTGGGTAATCCTCGCGGGACAGAGAACTGAATCGCAAACTGATTGATTCCTCATTTGTACTGGCAGAATTCGGTTGCATTCTATTCATTTCTTACACAGAAATTGAAAAGACATTGCTGGAAGTGGTTAACCGTATGCCTTCGAAATAAGCTCGAAAGTCAACAAATCGTTTGATTTTTTAAAAGCCCCTCGATTTTTTTAAACCTTGCAAGTTACATACCGTCAGTTGAAGGTGATCGATATTTTTCTTGTTTTCCCATCCGTCTTGAGTTACTTATTTGTTCCCCATGTGGCAAAACGCAGTGCATTTTTTAAAGCACTGGCGTGTTCGAAACAAGAAAACATTTTATTCTGAAAAAACGTGGCGAGTTTTCTGGTCAAGACATTTTTCTCTTTTGTCAACCACTTTTCTGCTGAGCTGTCAATTAATTTTGCTCGAAATATTAGACGGAAACACGGCTTATGTTTTACTGTTTAAGGTGATTGTTCGCTCTTTGTGTGCGATTGTTGAATGCTGTTAGCCGGCATGTACTTATTTTTGTCGAAAATTGCACCCAATTCTTAGTCCGTTCAGTTGTTGATGTGGTTTCGATTGGGATTTTAGCTGCTCCAGAACCTGTAACCAAAGAAGAAATCACGTCGCGGAAAGCGTCAGGGGTTGAAATACCTGCGGGACCTCCACCAAACGGATGCTTCTACAATGAGATACTGTTGAAAGTCGGTACGAATTACACAAAGGGTTGCCAAACCTGCATTTGTTTGGGCCCTGGAATCGAGCATTGCGCTCCGCGTTGCAAGTACACGGCCAGTTCCTCGGTCCCAGAGCCGGGTTGCGCCTTGGTACCTGTTGTTGGCGACGCCTGTTGCTTCGAGTTGAAATGCCCGGGTGAGTTTTCGATTGAATGAAAGTATTCGTGCGCATCATTTTGCAAACAGGGAATTCTCGGTTTGATGCCACTTATCCAAAATTCTATGATCATGTGTAGTCCAAAAATTCCAGTACTTTCTGATGTTTGTATGAGGGATAGTTCAAAAGTAATGTGCCTTGAAATGAAGCTCGTCGCGTACTCGAATTTTGGAGTCAAATTTATCTTAACTTTTGTGAAGCCCATGAAAAAATCGAAGCAAAATATTGTTCATGTGACGAGGCTTTTTTATCGCGTGCTGCAGCCGCGTGACCTCATCAACTTCTTGACCACCGATTAACATTTATGGCAGCTTTTACATTGAGTTCAACTAACACAGAACCTGTGGAGACCGGATAACTTTTTCTGCTGAAGCTTTATTTTCAATTTTGAAACATTATCATTAATACTGTACTATTTTTCGATTAATCTAAATATTCTGCGATGGCCTGCAAATCGAGCAACTATGCCTGCGTGGAAGAACCTTTCTTCAGTTTCAACTCCGTCATCTCACCATTTCAATCCGAGTGACCAAAAAAGTGGAACAGTCTTCAGAGAATAATCAAGTAACACTAAAGACTGTGAAGATTACTTTCATCTTCATTCATGCGAAACGATTTTAAACAGGCGAAGCACTGGATGACAGAACTTATAACCAACCCCCGTATCTTTGCAGAATGTGTCTGATGTTTGCTATTCGGTTTGTTCACATTTTCTTTCAAGTAAAAAAAAAAATTGCATGTTCTCCATCCCCGAAATGATGGAAAAATAGCTAAATCATGGTTCTTTAAATGAAGTCTTCCGATTTTTGCTGTTGATATTACTTTTTTACATTTCAGTGCAGGCATTATCTTGAATTGAAAACTGCACGAGTCCAGACAAGTTGAAAACGTTGATACTGTATATCCAAAAATTTGATTGAAATTCTAATCTTTCATGATGTGATTTTTCGCAGAAAAGCGACCGAGGTTGGAGGAGAAAGAGGGAGAAGGCTTGGGGAAGGGTTGCTGGCAAAACGGCAAATGGCTTCCAGTGTATAAGCGAGTATACGACGGATGCAAATCATTTTGCATGTGCGCACCCTCCGGGAAAATGGAATGCGCCGCCGTGGAATGTCCGGATACTTTCGCACTCGAGAACATACATCACGAGTGTTTCGAATGGGGCCCGGTGCCCAATGCGACCATAGAACCGCCGGATTGTTGTCCCGAGAATGTGTGCATCAACGATGGAACCTGCGAATTCAAGGGCAGAAAGTTTGGCAACTTCGAGCAAGTGCCGATCGAGTTGTCCGGCTGCGATCAAAAGTGCGAGTGCGAATTCGGCTCGATGGCGTGTCATCGAATGTGTCCGCCATTGCCTTCAACGCCGCCGCTCACTTTACCCTGTCCGCCTCATGTTGCTCAACTTATCGTCAATCCGGAAAACAAATGCTGCAAAATTTGGCGCTGTCCAGGTGAGTTTTCTTTTTTACTGAAACGCTTTGCGTGAGTGCAACGCCCTCCGTCGATTCATTCGAAAGGTGGAATACTGTTGAGACATCAAAAACAGTCATTTACTCGAATTTAAGGCTACATTACAGTGTTTCTGTGACTCGCAATATATTGTATATTGCCTCAAATATATAATATTGCGCAATATATTGCCTCAAAAATAGAAAAAGCTCGTGAATCTAAGACATACCATCACTTTTTTTGTCTCAATGGAAGTCTGTGGCGTAGCTCATGCGGAATCACATCTGTACCATCTATACGTATTTTTTTCTGCCCCATAATCACCTTTGCTGTCCTCGTTGCAGTCTTTGAATATTAATATTTTTGCGCTTGAAAGGAAGATTCAGAAATGCAGTACCATTTTTGGTCATTGGCCTTCAAGTTTTACTTCGCTTTTAAGCCCTACTGGAATTGTTCATTTTTCAAATGAGAAATTTGAGTTGAACAGAATTTGATCGGTTCGCAAACATGATCAAGATAATCTTGTATGTGAGACGCAACTTAATGTGGAAGAAGTCAACTTTAGGTGAAAAAGAGGTCATCTTTGAGTATAAATAAGGTACAATGGTTATCTATGCGAAAATGATTTTGTTGTTTGACTCACGACGATATCGATATTTTTACCGTCAACAGCCACGACGTCGACCGCACCGACACCAATAACATCGAATTTGCTTCCAAACAACATCTTCGACAATCTTGGTGAGGAACTTTTCAAGAAAATCTCATAAACGCTGTTCCTAATTATGTCGAAATGATCCTTAAATAGATGCAAGCTGTGTTTACGAGGGAAAGGAATACAAAATAGGCGAAGACTGGACGGAAGGACCTACCTGTCGACTCAAGCGATGCAAATGCTTACTTGATCCGGACGGATTGGCGAGAGCGCGATGCGAAGGAGGCTGTGCTGAAATTTCCGAGCGCCAACTATGGCCGTCAGCTAGATGTCCATTCCCTCAGTTGATTGAGTTCGACGATCCCTGCGTTTGCCCCAGCGTCGCCTGTGGTCCTCCGAGTAAGAAAATCGGGACGCTTTTGAGCACCTTCTCTAAAACAGCGCGACTTTATCGTGTCCACAAAATTACGAATAAATTAAAATAAATTGCGCGTTCGTTTTTGAAACCGTTTGTACGACTGCTGTTTTGTACTTCTGCTGTTTCGAGACGCGATTTTCTGGATCGCAGAATTTGGGGCGTACATGAAAAATTACCTCGTGAAACGTATCCCGATTTCTACATTTTCTCAAGAGTAAATCACTATTTTTTTCTCTATTTTCCAAAAACTAGCGCGTCTCGTGTCCACAAAATTAATCGTGCATAGGTTTCGGAAACCGTTTTAAGCGACTGCCAATTTGTACTTCTGCTGTTTTGAGACGCGATTTTCTGGAGCGCGAAATTTGGGGCGCACTCATCTCTCCGGTCACGATGAGAAATGACCTCGTCAAACGGATCCCGCTTTCTAAATTTTTCTGAAAACTGTATTGCTGCTGTTTCAGTTGAGGTAACACCAAGTACAACCGTTAGTTCGAGCACCACCGCTTCAACTACCACGCCGACGACGACGACTTCTACAACAACCACGACAGCGAGTACCACTGTGTCAACCACCACCACCACTGAAGCTCCACGGTCGATTGAAATCTCCGTATCTTTGGAAGTTGTTTCTGTCGAACCTACGCGCGCAACAGTGAAGTGGAGGAAATTCGCCGACAACGAGACCCAGTACATTGATGGAATTCAAATAAGATACAGGAATGCTCGCGAGAACTCGCAGGTACACTCTTCGTTATTGTTCATGAATTCATTCAGATCGTTGATCAAATTATTTCTTCCGATTTTAGGTCTGGAAAATGACGCCTCTATTGCACCGAGACCGAACGGATTATGAACTTCGATCTTTAGAGGCTGATGCAGAATACCACGCCGTGCTGACTTTTATTCCTTTCCCGAAACAGTCCGTTGATCTGTACACCAACGAAACTTTGGACTTTCACACACCACCGCTTGCAGGTAAAACCCGAGTTTCGTGAAAATGCACAGCTAAGTTACAGCAAGACACGTCTTCATTTATCGTATAAGAAAAGATTCACTACGTCACTCGTATTTACGTGACCGTGTCCGTTTATATAGACGGCACACTGGTTTACGTCGACGGTTTCCGTGGGATGTTTAACAGCCTATCGAGTTCACGTCTCATATATTGTATTATGCAGATACTATTTTTTTTCGAGAAGTGGGCCTTTATTGAAGTGAACACGGCGTCCAAGCCTAGCATTCCCTGCTGTGACGTGTTCTCGCGATTCAATATTTTTTATCCCCGTAATAGACGGTGAAAATGAAATTAAAAGTTGAAGGCATTTTTCTAGGATTAAATGACTTTGGGACAATAAAAATGCGAATTTAGGTTTCGTCCCAGCTTTCTTTTAGATGAATGAAGTAAACGAGCTAATAAATTTTAGGTATTAGGGCAAATAAATCATTTTATCGAGGGAATTATATTTATTTGTCGTTTGGTCATTTTATAAGCTTTAAAATAAATCCAGAATTTTTTGAGACCTCCGAAAAATGAGAAAATTTAATTGCGTTTTCACAATCCGTCAGTCTACAAAGATCGTCAACCCGTGGGTTGGACCACAGATATTTCCAAGGACAAATTTAATCTGCGCCTTAACATATAATTCACTATGTTCTGTGTCACCACTTTTAAGGTATGTCAGTGAGGTATGCATATTTCATATTGATAAACCGTTCATATCACGTGATCACAGCCTTTAAATAGAAAGTTTGGTACTTATCAAGGCATATACAGTAAATGACATATTCCTCCGTCAGACGAATACAACTTCTCCGTGGTTGTGTCGCTGGACAACGTGACAGCGAATGGGATGAAAGTACGATGGAGCGGTGCACCGTATCCACCGGAAAAGTACGTGAACGTGTACCAAGTGGTATACCAGCCAGCTGGACAGCTGGACCCGTCGAGTAAATTTTTCGTTCCGCCGGAAGACCCTCCGGTCGCTGCATTGGAGGGTCTGAAGCCAAGGACGTCGTGAGTTTTCCGGACACCCGTGCTGAATTGACCCTCCTTTTCCACTAATTGTGTGTATCCGATTTTCCGGCCTAAAGGTACCATGTTTGGGTTAGGGCGTATTTGCGCAACGGGAAAATAAGGCGCTCGAATGTCATTGAAGTGCTCACTCCGCAGGAAGTTGCCCTGGTTGAGGTTGGAAATGAATTGGAAGTCAAAGGTAAGACCATGCTTTCAGCTATTGTTTCTAATAGCTATGGCGGACGAAATTTCTGCTCTCTTCCCTTCAATAAACTTCTTTTCTGGAATCTCTGGCAGATGTTTAATGAATGACTCCTCTTTTTTTTAAGTCAAGTTTGTGGTTCGTAGATGAATACGTATCGTAGAAATTATACTTGTTATTACAAGCAGAATCTCTACTGAAGAAATTTCGGATATTAGCGAAACAACTATGATACAAGATAATGTAATTTAGATTGTTTTACTTTATGGAAGGGTTTACTTTATGAGGTACGAATTTCCAAATGCTACATTAATTCCCGGATAAGAATTCGAAATGGAATAATGACGAGTGCTTATGATGATAATGAATATGATGATGATACTTGAATATGATAGCGATAAAAAAAAATCGAACCTCACGAGGGTTCAACATTGCACATGCATGACCAGTGCTCTCCATGGGTGCAAAAACGCCCAGAAACAGACCCTTTTTTGGATTGGGTTTTCATGCATTTCACACAGATTTTCTGTTCCTATGAAATGTTCGTGAGGAATTCCTGCGATCAGTATTTTTAGCTATTGTTTCAAGCTTAATCAGTTCAACCAGTATATTCTTCCCTGGTTTATTTCTTAATTTTTTCTGATGACCTCACCCTGGATATCAAAATGCATTTTTCTCCCACTCTTATTCATTATAATGTCACTGATGTGCTGCTGTTTTAACCATCGCGATTTCCCATCGCAATACAGTACAATATTTAAATTCCGCCCCCCCCCCCCCCCCCCNTGCAAATAAATTTTATTCCCCCCCCCCCCCCCCCCCCCATTAAAACTTTCAGCGCTAAGTCATGGATTCCGTTGCTTTTCTCGTCTGAAAATAAGATTCACCGAAATAATTAACCCCCGCTACGTTTTGGGGTAAATTGGCGATAAACTGGTCCTTGAGTTCGTGGATCATTGGTTACTAAGCTTGAACTGAACTGATCGGATCTAAACTTGACTTGATTAAAAAAAAATTTGACGAATTGGCGTTAGCACGGAAACCACCGACACTTCGGCTCCAATTGCAGAACATTTCAATCCCTATTTTATTACCCGTGTGTGCATAGATTTGTTTCTTTCTTGTATGTGTAGGTGATTTATATGTGCCTTTGCTTTTCGCAGGTCAAACATCAGCCCAACGCGAGACGAGTGGACAAGGAAAGGATTCAAATTCAGGCGGCGTGAGCTATTTCGGCGCCATGATTGCGCTGGCAATTTTCGCCGCCGTGGCGATCGTCGGGCTAGTCGTGGTCATCGTGCTTTTATTCCGACGTCAGACTCGAGCTAAAGGAGTGGAAATCTCGGAAGGGAAGCCGTATTCTGTGCACCAGTCTTCAATCCCAGTGGGTGTGGGCGCTCAGAGTTCCCCATCCTCGCCAGCCTACCAGAATCCGTCGTTCAAAGTAGGTGTTTTCGCTCGGATACCTGTTTGTTTTCAATTTCCTTGCTCGTTCTGGTTTTCAGCACCCAATATGTCTTGAACGAGGCAGCACCTGGGCTCGCGAGCCGACCAAAATATAACTGCGTTTTTTCCCCCCACTAGTTTCTCCTCTCTGACGTGACGCGGGGGTTTCAAGCTTTACGTTCTCGTCTAATTTATCTCTCTCTCTCTCTCACGCACAAATAATGCTATTCAATTTACTCCAACTGCCTTGATTTGTACTTCTTGTGGAAGCGTCCCTCACAGTGCTTCAGCACTTTGTGCCCATCTCGCAACTCACATGCAAGGTATACAGCGATAAGATAGTGTTGTATTTGGGATGGATAAAATTAAGTTATTCATATTATGTATTAGGTCTAAGGCTGCGTTTGTTGTAACTTCGGCTCAGCGATGCCTCAAACTACGAATTCCCCGAGGAATAAATATCCCGAAGAAATAGTGGAAGACAATATTTGAAGTGCCAAAAGTCTTCCAATCTATGAATCGCGTGTATACGAGCAATTCACTCATACTAATCGTCTTATTCACAGAACAAAAAGCCTTTTTCACCATGAATTAACGTGACGGAACCCCTTCTAAAATTGATAACTGTGACGGAGTCCTTCACGTGTCTGGCCTATATCTCAGAAAATACTTATTTGGGCTTCAAGAGATCGAAGAATTATGTCCGTGGCTTTTAGATTGATTTATGAAGATACAATATGGCCCCTTGCAGTTGCTACTATACTTTATATAAAAGATTATCTTGAAAATACTTACATACAGTAATTGAAAATTCGTTTCATTGAGTCGTTTAAAATATTGTGCCTATAATAATGCAGGGGACTAGAAATCGTTCTGAGCAGGTATTTATTGTAACAAGATTTGCGAAAAAGTGGTACCAACCTTAAAGAACTTCAAAAATAATTTGAACTCGCCTATAAAGAACTCGTCCACCTTCATTTATACCCCCGTTTTTCCAAATTTTATTTCGAGAAAATAGTGACTCTCAATATGCCATTTTTGTCATAATACGAGTTAATTTCGTTGGGCGAAGCACCACTGATATAGTACAATATCCAGATTATTTTCATAATTTTTTCGTGCTGTAGGTTTGGCGTTAGATGTTCCCCATGTCTTACGGTGAGAATTATCTCTCAGCTTTCTGCTTTTTCGACACTTGCTTTTTCTCGTGCAATTTCATTGAAATCGGCGGAGAGCAAGTCTTGCGGCTCAAAACAAGAATCTTCCCACATCATTTTTTTTTTAGTCGAAGCATCTGGGATAAATGCTACCCGAAATCTGTTCAGGAATGAAAACATTGAATGATCCTTACCGGGAACCAGAAACCCTGCAGTCGGGTAACTCGCACGAAAACCGTCCAAGCAGCGGCGTGTGCGCCCGGAAGTTTGGAAACCCCGTCGGAACAGATCCGTTCGGGAATGTAAGAGGCCTTGTTAAAGTCCCTTGGGTGCGCCGAAGCCGAACGGTTCGCTTTTCAGGTGCCGGAGAATCGAAAGCGGGGGGATCGCTTTTCTGTGCGTCAAGCGCGAAATCTCGAGACTGCCGGGCTGTCAGATAGTTGGAACTGCGCGCGGCTTTGGGAAACGCCGCCGAATTATCGCGGTGCTGAAAGCGGGTCCCGCGCGGGACCGCAGTAATTAACTGCAGCTTGCTTTTGCTTCCTGTCGGGCCCTGGCGCGGGGTTCCTGTCGCGGGGCTAGTTTTTTCCTTCCAGGTTCCTGAACCCGTCTCTTTTGCAACCCCGTGCGTCGACTTGCAGCATTCCGTCTTCGACAACAGCGGCAAGAACAGCTGTTTTTCTTTCCCGTCGTTCGTTTTACAGTACAGTAAAGCGCAGCTATACCTTCCTATTCAGCCTTCACGGCAGTTGAGACGTCAAAAGCGCAGATGCCCCCCTCCTCCTTATTCGGATGTCGGAATTTCCTCGCGAGTAATGGTCGAATTAGCAATAGCAATTGGGAATACATATGGGTGGCTTTCATTAAATTACTCAATAAACTATCATTAAAGGTAAAACTTTGAAACTCACCCCGAAGGAATGAGTTCCATGTCTTCATTTTCTTAACCTAACATAATTCAGCTCGGGGCACGCAAGGATTAAATTGAGGGGTTTGGACAAAGAGGGGAAGTATACCAGGAAAATCAGGTCCTTGTGTGGTTCAAAAGCCCACAATGTGCACCGGTATAAAATAACGCAAATATTCGTTTATCAGGGACAAGTCCATGAAGACGCGTGATAACTAACTTCAAGCCCTATTACCGTAACTCTTTCTGGATACAGAAAAACAGAAGGTAAAATTGTGCGAGTGTCATGAATGATTTTCGTTGCTACAATTTTTTTTTAAATCTGCACCACGTGAATGTCTTACGGCCAGAGTTTTCCTTCTTTGATTTTACAAAGGACCAGGGTGTTTTTACAAAGGACTTTTGGACCAGGGTGCTTTGCGATTTTCACAATGGCCGAAGTGAAGTTATCCCTGGTGTTTTTATTTTCAGAGCAACGGAGATGTGGAAATGCCAGAAATGAACGGGAACAAGGAGTCAAGGTCGAGGACTGGCAACGGATCATAGCAGGCCGCAATGAAGTGAAACTCCACCCGTATTTATTTTTATTTTTTGTAGAATGCATGAATTCGACACATTCATGTGATATTTTTTCCATGGCGCGGCGGAAATCCTTGACTGCGGCTCATTTCGTACCAATCGGCACAGACGCTCATTTCGATTTGCTTCCCTGCGTTCCCTGCATAACGCGTGCCAAATTGAGCGAGTTGTATCTTTTCCCGGGACGATGGAATGCGTGTAGGATGCACCGCTCTTCACTTTCGTTTATTCCGGTGACTGCAGTTACATTTCAGAAGCAAATTTCGTTGTAAGAGCAATTGTGACACGTTAAATTGACCTATATGTCTTTTTTTTTACCGGGGTCGCGTTTCGCCTCGAAGTGCCAAGAAAAACCCCCACGATGAAGGCTCATGTGGACGAGCCTCAGTATTAGGTGATCATCATTTTGGTCGCTTGTTCTAAATGCATCATATGCTTCCGGTCGCGGGAGAGGATATTTTCGGGGCATTTTTTCTTGGATTTCATCGCGAATGACGAGCCAACAGATAATTGTTTTAAATGTCCGATGCTGTTTGTACGCTTAGATTGTACAGTTTTGGCGTTGAGTGCTTTTTTAATCCTGGAAATTCAGGAACGTTCAGACGTCTGTTCGATGCATGGCGCAATAATTGTGACATGACGACTCTTGAGCGTTATCTCAGAGTGCAATACCTCTCGTTATGCAGCTCCGTTTTTATTTGAGAGATTTGTTCGTTTTTTTTTCGAGTAGGAGTGCAAGCATGTATCAAGTTTTGAATGCGATTTTCCTTCATTGACATGATTTTTAGCACTTGAATGATTCTTGAAAACATGATTTTTCTGACTCTCTCAAAGTTTTGGGATTGTTTTTATGCCATACGCGGCCTCCAGGTGCTGGCTGAGATGACGCGTGGTCGCAATTTCTATAGCCAAGGCATTCATAACGACGTATAACCCGGGAGTGTCTCGTTTTTTTTCTCGCTTGAAACGGAATTGAAATACAACTGGATGATATGCAAAATGTCGTGATTCCAATATATAAATTATCCCCAGAAAACGTTTAAGGTACCGACAATAATGCGTTGAACAACAAAACCAGTTTGGACGTGCTGGCCATCTGGAGATTCGGTAAATGTGTGGTTCGTCTGAGTTCCACAGACTCTTTAAGAAATTGTAAAACGTCCCGGTGATGATGCTCCAGGTCTCGATCTTGACCAAGTGGAAGATTGATATCTTGATGAAGATTTTGAAGTCATTTTTGCTCAGGGTAAAAAGCGCTCGAGGATTTTGACTAATGAGCGAGAAGTTGTTTCAAAGTGAAGGTTGCAATACAATACATCCTTCGAGAGGTCTGCATGATAATTTATGGATCTTGAAAAAACCTGGGGTGCAACATTTCGACCATGGATGCAGAGTACCGTATTTTGATGGTAAGTAAATTACGGTATGTAATTTCAGGTTTCAAACGAAAAAAGAACTGAAATGGTCGGGGAGTATGGTAGACAAATTTCAATCAAAGCTTCAATTTTTGGAGAAAGATCCCGTCGATTTATTCCAGTCGGTTTCAAAACTTAGACCATCCTGAAAGCTTTGATTGGAGGCCAGGCAACATCAGAATGGAGAATATTCCGATCGACCAAAATATTTGTAAATGGAGTCGACATAAATGCATAAAAGAAGCAACATGTTTGAGTAAAAAAGCCAAGTTTATTTTTCTTAGAACAGAAATTAGAATAGTTCACTCAAAGAGCGCCAAGCTTTCAACACAGGAATGCAAACTCATCATGGAAAGCTTGAGAAAACAAGTAGCAAAAAATCATGCCTGCCTTCGTGCAGAATTCCGGTCGCGTATAAATGCTATTGTCAGTTCAAGGAGACACGAATAAAAGACGACAAGTTTGAGCAATTAACGCGTTTGCAGCTTGGAAAGGACCTTAATTCGCGAGATTCGCATTCTTCCTGAAATCGTGCAATAATATCCGTGATTTGACAACAAAAAAAACTTAGATCTACAGCTATATACGTCTATGTACGTTATGTGAAGAAAAGAAGCTTTCAGTTGACACAATTTCGCGCAAAAGCACACCGTCCTCACACACGTCTCCGCCCGGATCAAGCATTCGCGCAACGCTAATAACAGGGATTCTTTTGAGAGCAGCAGATCACCGGTGTTCTTAGTCCCAGTTCCGCACGTCAAAGTGCTCGGGTTGCAGCGACCAGCGTCATCGCGAGCCATATGGCGAAGAATTGGCAGGCGGCGGAATTGGCAGCGTTCGATTTCGGTTTCGGGTGGTTGGTCTGCGACACCGCAACCGGCGCCGGGCTCGACACCTTCGCTCCTTGCGAACTCGTTGACGACTTCCCCATGGTCTCCGTCTCGAAACCCGTTGTGTGTGTCGTGGGACACGGCAGGTTCGCCTTGTCCAGATCCAACAAGCGCACGTGAGCTCCCAGAGAGAAAGTCGTCGTGCGGTAGACCCATATGTCATCATATCTGACACGCCAACGGGAAGCCATACAAAAGAACAAGATTAACTCATCTCCAAGATACGACTCTGCTCCACTTGTTTCTCATCTCCGAAACTTTCCCGGCCTGGACAAGCAATAATACAGCGTCACCCCGGATAATGGACGCCTCGGCTAAAAGGTTTTCCGGATAACGAACTCGAGTTTCCACCGAATTTCGCTTTTCACTCGTATAACGTACCCTGCTTCGGACAATAAGCTGCTGAAAAGGGATTGTCCCTCGAAATATCGAAGTCGGCGTGGACATCATTCTTTATTTGGATGTATGCTTGTGCGCATACAGTATTTTTGACTATAGCTTCTTCGTAGGTTTAATTAAGCCCTGCATTTAATTAAAGATTTATAAAAGAATTGATGAATGGAATTTCCACGAGATTGTTTTAGCGATTATCCACTTGACACAGCCTCACATTTTTCCGTCAAAGGACTTATTAGGGACCATGCAGGAACCAATTGACGATTATTTGATGCTGTTTTGAATGACTCAGTCAACAGACTTCCCGGCACGGAAATTGATTGAGTTCATGTTGAGACACCACTGTATTTTGCATTGCAATCCGCATATACACGTGGACTCTCTCTATACATGGACCTTGTCTGCAACAATTTTCTTGGTAGAAAATTTTTTATATTTTTTCATCCTAAAATTTAATGAAAAGACTCTTTCCAAAATCATAGATGACCAAGATAAACTGTCAACTTTGTATGATTTCTCATAAAAGATTCTCTCCAAATTATTTAATAAACTAAAATTTATCTGGGAGCAGGCTGAACACCTTTGTGCTTTAATTTGGGTTCATTAATTGCCTTATGCTGCAATTATTATCACGGATATTTTCTTTTTTTTGTCCTCAGGGAGGGGACGCAAGTGTATTTATTTAAGTCAGCCGTGCAATTGTATCTTTTGGGATTTTCTAAATATCCACAGACAGCTTATTTCTCTATTTTTCTTTCTGATGTGATGTAATGCGTTTGGATGCATGTGGGTGGGGAGGGGAGGCATAACTTCAGTTTCATGGGGGGAGGGGGGAGGGGTTGGATGTGGGAACATTGCATGAATCTTTTGATTGCTGTAAAGCAGAAAATAAGCTTGCTGATCAATCAATCAATCAATTGAATTGTCGTCGATAGAATTATCTTCCCATGTTATCCACAACAAAATTATCCCCGCAACTAGTTTATCTGGTCCCTTGAATTTCGTTGCAGAGAGAGTCCACCTGTAATACACCGGGATTGGCCCGAAAAGTTAAATATTTAACTCAGTTTTACTTATCCTGGCGGCAAAACCTTCTCAGAAAGATACCAAGATTTTCCTCCTTCTCACATGAACGGTTGCAGCACCTTTTTCTGACAAATTTTAAATACCTTAATTCATTGAACTCCTGGCAACCAAGAAGTGCGTGAATAATCCTGCAATGAACATGCTAATGCCAATGGACTCATGTATAATCACCAACAGCTGGTTTCAGCATTATGGCATATCTTCCAGCAAGCTTTCAAGGAACGGAATCCTCAACAAACTAGATGAAATTTCTGGAAGACTGGCGAGCCCGACTTACCTTCCTTCTGTCACAGATTCATAATATTTTTGCGAAATCTTCACGTTTTCGTGAATCTAGCAGAGCGTGAAGCGCCCCTCGCTAAATGAGCGAATGATGATAAGCTAATGCGCCCAACAACAACAAAAAGCTACACCAATGTGATGTGATAATCATCAAAAGCTCGGGTTTTGGCAATAATAGCTAATTTTCCGAGCAACTAAGCAGCGTAATCCTCAACGAAGGAGATAGGATTTCTCAACAGGCAGGTAAGCAGGGCTTAGTCTCACCTGTCGGTGTGGTCGCTTCTCGGATCAGCGGCCTGAGCAGGGTCTTCGAGGGCGACGTGGGGCAAGAGATCTTCCAGGTATTCCACAGCTACGTAGCACTTCAACTGCTCTAAATTCTCCCGGAAAAAGTGGCTCGCCGTCGTGTTATACGCTTCGTATATCCAGTCCAAGCGGCAGTCGCATTGCAAATTATTCTCTGCACAAATGAAAAATAAAACGCCCAATTGCTTCAACTTCCAGCAGTAGCATTGCACGAAAAAAAATCAGGCCTTGAGGGCAACAGCAGCTAGACTTGGGTGCTGTTGAGAACTCGGCTTTTTGCATCAACGCAAGGGGGAAAAAAACACCCCAAGGCATGCAAAGAAATTTCATTTTCATGCTTCGAAATAAGAATAAAAAACATCGAGTTCTAAAGCTCCGAATAGTTGATAAATTACATCAAACAAAATAACATACAGTATAGAGATTCGAGGTAAAAGCGAAAGTCTTGGGGTATTTGCATCCAACCTTCGAAGAAAACCCAAAATCCCAAGAAAACGAAACACCAAAGAAAAATGCCAAAAAGGTTTAGTGGTATTCATTTAGGAGATTTTATTCACCCTTTAAAATCACGGAGCCCTTCCAAAATTGAATGCTCATGCTGAAGACCTTTCTTGAAATCATTTCGTAATACCGCACGGAGTCCCTCTTATAAAGCCAAGTTTTCAAGTAATATAGTTTAGAAGCATACTAATCCCTTACTTTTAGTAGTTCCTCTTCCAATATTCAAATCACGCATTGAATGCCAAAATGATCTTCCTGATTTTTCCTGAAATGGCCTTGGACCCCTAAAAAATTGCAGGACAAGCTCTTAGAGCGGGTCTTGTAGACCATAGAACTCACCACTTAGAATGGAATGTTCTGTATGGCAGTGCAAAGAAACGTTTTTTAAAATCTTAGAAATCTGAAGTTGTGTTATGCAGTGCACTGTAACACCATCACTTTGATTTAGCTTCACTTCAAAACAAATGCAATAAAATTGGAACTGTCTAAATATAAAATGTTTTCCATGGACAGCCGTTCGCAGAGAAGCAAACTGCAGAAAGCTTTATTAGAAAGGTTTCTGCAGTAGAAAGCTTTATTTTTGTTTTAAAACCTGGGAGTACAGAAGCATCAACAAAGAAGTGTACGAGACTATCCTTTTTGAGTACTCTGCCACAAATACTACCATTCCTCTCAAAAATCAAGCTCAAGAAGTGAAGTATAACTGCAATCTAAAAAATGCCCTGCTTAAAAAATAACAACTACCGTCAAACCCTCAATCGAATGCCAACCTCACGCATTCGTGCCACTAATTCAACTTGACAAATCTTCCCCTATTATGTCGATCTCTCGTATACGATACTCTCGCTGAATGCCAAGAAAAGGCCATGGATGGAGGGTGGCACTAAATTTGACTGCAGTGTGCTCAGCCAAGAAAATGAGTCTCCGTTTCAACAGATGGATTTCAGCACTATTAGACACGGGAGGAAGATACAAAAGACTGACGCTCGCGATCGACGGCGTGCTCACGCGCCATGCTAGAGCCAGGCTTCCGGAAAGACATCCGAGGGGCTCGGAAGCGGATCCAGAAGTCGTCACTTTCGGAAGCCGGGTTCTTTCGTCATTAGCACGCTCGGTACTGGTCACGGTGCAGCCACAGGACCAGACCGCCGGGTTCCGGACCCAGGGCGGAAAACATCCCCACGACGCCGGGTTTCAGCTCAGGCGTGAGATGACAGTTCCGCACGTCGAACCCCGGGGTTTGTTTCGTCGTCAACGCGTCGGGCTGTGACGTGTGCCGCGCGGCGCTGTCGCGGGTTCGCCGGGTTTCTCCGCGCCGAACCTCAGTCTATATTGCGGGGTTTCGGGATATCTGCCTCGTTTTCTTTCATCGGCTTGTCAGGACGTAAGACATTCCCCGATGTGTATGGGCCACATCGTATTTCGATCAGCGATTTTAGGCACAGAAAAATTGCGTAGGCTACAACAATTTCAATAAAAGTTTCGGAATAATGCAGGGTCTCTCTAAAAAAAAGCCTCGATTTCCCCACCGCAGCCGAATGTTGTTACTACAAAGCCGTTGATATCTGTAGCAAAAACAATTAATGACATTCAAACTTAAGACACATTTTGGCTATAATGCATTGCTGCAGGAAAAAATTCGCTGCAATGGAATTTCTAACACCATTCTCTGTAGAAGATTCAAAGACAAGTAGAACAAGAGAAATGTTCATGACATGAATAAGGCTCCATGAGTGCTTTATCTCTTGAGTGAAACAATGTAATATTGGTCTCCCTAATAAGTCGCAAACCCTTCAATGCTCTGTAAATAAAATTTCTGCAGGCCTTTGGGTTATTATCCTGGGGAACCAGGAAGGAGAAGAGGAATGTAATTGTAACAAGATGTTTCTCAGAAGTAAGTGCATGACTAATTATGCAACTTTATCAAACAGTTCCAGATCCAAAATTTCATCAATTTTACCTTCATGCGAGTTTTCTACCCCACCCCCTCTCCTATTAAAATTTTGGTCTCCCCAACTCTAAATATCCCTCAGTGAAATTTTCCGTGGGTCGCTCTGAGTTCAACTAAAAGAGGTTGGACTGTATAATCATACTTATGATTATTTAATTCATGGGTAGGTTATCTGACCTTCCAGACCAGCAAATATTCACTTGTACTGCATAACTGTGGCATAAGCCCCCACGTGAATATTTTTGAACACCTTTTACCTTCAGCTCAAGGCAAAAAATCTTATTCCAAAAATAAAACATATTTATTATTTTGAATGTGTGTCGTATTGCTTGAGCCGATTAGATTTCATTTCGAGGAAAATCTACTAAGTGAATCTACTTTTGTTCTTCATTCATCCATTTCATTTTAGTTTTTTGTGGAGGGACCCATGGAGCCCCGGACAAATTCAGAAGCCAGAAGGGCTCTGAAGAACACCATTTGATGCGCGTCTCTTATTCTAAAATACCGTCTTCTAATGAGCGCTCATTAATTTGGGTCCCTCAGATTTTTGCATGAAATTTTTGAAGGCGCACGCACAAATTTGACGATGCATACACATTTCGAAGGTACAAGCCTCTCCAGAAACTGCAAAATTAATTAACACGATAAATGAATGAAATGAAAGATAAATGAAGGGACGATGTTAATCAGATAACTGCAGAGGTGTTTCCTGCGTGCATTTCAGTGTCAATAAGCTCATCATCATCTGCTAACATTATTTTTGAACTTCTTTTAAGGAAAACCAAAGTCGAAGATAGATGAAGTCAGACGAATAGGTCATTGCGCCGCTAAACGACAGCGGGAAGTCATGGGACGAACAGGAAATTGCAGATCACTGAACCGTCGACGCGTCGTTGCTCCTAGAATACTTGTATATTCGAGCAACTGCGTTTTGCGGAGAGATACTGAAGATCATCAATTCCGCTTAAGTTTCAGACAATGTTGAACCGTCACGACAGTGAAACCAACTCCATTCAACGAGAAAACTGCTGACTATGTACAACCAAAATTTTCAAAATTAAATGGGAAAGATATTTTTGAATGAGTCTGTTCAACGTCGAGGTTTCTGGTCTTGTCAGAAAGTGGGGGATAAGCACTGTACTTTATTGTATTAAAGTCGCCATGTCAAGCATGAGGTTCATTTATTTATTAAGAAACTGACTGTTGACGCTGGGAGAAAAAGTTCAGGCGCACGTTTTCTATGCTCTTGAAAACATAAAAAATATAATCTCAAGTTTAATATACATCGGAGAATTCAAAAAGTACGCTTTTATCACGAGCCCTTAAATTGAAAAAGGCGTAATGACTCTGAAATTCTTGACGCTTCATTTTTTTGTGGATACAGTATATTAAAAGGATGTTTCCTGAATAGAGAGAATTTCTATCCAAAAATTTCAATTTTTTTATGCAGTGCCACTCGAACCTACCGGCCCAAAAAAAAATCGCTGTATTGAGTAATAATGCGAAGATTTCACAGCTATTTCTGAACTGTAGGAACGTTTTGACGCTGTGGTTCTATTCAGTTTATTCAAGTGCCTTCCTATAGGCAAGAATTGTTCTATAATTTTTGTTCAAGGGGAATATTGCCTACTGGCTAGCGACGACGAAAGAAAAATTCTCCATGTCATCTAATTCGCCGGGGAAAATTCTATATGGTACGACGGAAAATTCGGTTTGAAATTCCGGAGGAAGGTCATCAGGGAAATTTAGAGTCCATCAGGATTGCAATAGCTTTGCATCATTTTATATTTTCTTTTTTGAATGCCGCTAATGCATAAAGCAGTGCTGTATGGCACTGGCAGAGCGGCTTATTAAATGACTAGTTTTTACAGTACTGCATTTTCAAAAAAAAAAATTCATCTAGTTTTCATCCCATGCTAATTTTGTTCATTGAAGACGCTCTGAAGCTGCGGCGAAATTCAGAGGTTCGTGCGAGTCACACTTCTTGAAGAGAAGATACGCCGGATTTCATGGGATCAAATGTTCACGGAATCCTGATTTCGTCGACCGTAAATAACATTCGATGCTGCGGCTAAATTTAGAGGCTCCTGTAGCTCGCAATGCTCGTGGCAGCACGTCAGAAAAAGAAAAGTTCTTTAAAAAAAAAAAAGAGACACACAGACAGATCAGGCTATTGACTTCGCATGACTGCGAGGAAAACATGATGTATTCCCAGGGAATTCAGCCGCGAAATTCCGCCTCACAGCCGAGAACTTCACGTCGATTGTCAGCGCGCCGCGTCACGGCTATGATTGATAGCCGTCGGACGGAATTGGCACCCACGGAGCTGCAGGTGTCATTAGCTCGCGCGTAACAGCCAGTCACTTAACCAAGCAGCGACCTGTGTCGAAGTGTCGCACGGGGCATCTAGCGTCGCACAACCAGCGTCGCGCAGAGCGTGGTGTCGATATTTCCGGCCGCGTCGAAGGCCCAGCCTGATTGCACCCTCGCCAGAACTCGTTATCCTGTCGAAGTGATCGTTTTTGCCTCCCGGATATTGGGGAGGGAGGGTCTCGTCTTTCATTAAGGCTGAGCCGTCCGTGATTCCTGCGACACACGCACGTGGTGGTCGGAAATGCGGGGAACACTCCTGTGCTGATGCTGTGCCACACATCCCGTGTTGGCCCAACCAGACATCCGAAGAAAACTTTTCAACTTCATTTTTGCTATCAATTGTACCCCTTTCAGAGTACCCGACTGTCCCCGAAGCGTCTGAAAATGCAGACCCTCCTTATTGGGTTTAATTTTATATTCAAGTACTAAATACAATGCTGATGTAGTCATCCAAAGTCAGTGTTCCCCAACCTTTTTGGACCCGCGGGGTGGCAAATGTCCATACAATTTTCGCAGAACGTCTAATTTCCAAAACAGACCAACAAAGTTTAATAACATTTGTGCAGACTCAAGATAGTTTTGTTTGAAAGACTTTATGGCAGGTATTTAAAAAGTTTCTGCTTTCTTGCAAAAATTAAGTTCAGAGTGGAATGTCTTCAAATATTTGAAAGGTGGGCTTGAAGAAAGGTTTCTCAGAATGAACAATTTAAATAATTTATTTCAGCAAGTGAAAATGCATATGGAGCATCAATAGGAAAAAGGCCAACTTATATTTTTCATCGGATACATTTAAGCTGCCATTGTCTTTCCAGAATTTCAGATAAAGGTGACAGACTTCATGGCTACTTTGATAAATTTATTATCCAGAAGAAAATTTCCCGCGGACCAGCAAAAAACGTTTGCGGACCGGCACCGGTCCGCGGACCACGGTTCGGAAAAAACTGATCTAAGTTTCCTCACACGAGCAGTACACTTGTTAAAACAGCACGTTCTCTTTTACACTACATGCCCCAGCTTCTACAAACATCCGCGGTTCCTGGATACTTGTAAAACAGACAATTCTGCCGAAATGCGCGTAAAGGAAGAAAATTTCAATGTTTGGATGGTTCTCTTCCGCTGAAATGTAGGGAATTATTCTTGTCGCCCCGCACAACACGCCCTTCGTCTAAGTCTGGTCCTCCTCCGCATCCCTTGTAACATAATTCATCACTAAGCAAACGCATGCTCAGCTTCAGCACTTCACTTATTCCGCCGCAGAGTCATTGTTGCAAAATATATCTATACATTAATTTATTGAAACACCACACAATACCATCCAGTTCACTTCCGAAACGCAACATGATCACTTATAATCACGCGATTAAAAGTTGCATGCAACTGTATGCCGAACTCTGATTTTGGACAACAATGTCTGGTATGAAATCTGCGCAGACCACAATACGGTAACATTCAAAAGTTCTATAGGGTCTGTACACGAGAAAAACCGACTGATTTCCCGAACCTGCTGAAAATTGGAAAAAGCTTTATACAACATTTACTGAAGGTTAAGGCTTCATGAGAACATGGGCAGTTCAACGATATTATTCAAAAGGTGAGAAGAGTAAAGCCATTTTTATTTGGACCATACTTTTCCTACACACGGGTTATTTCTCACTCGTAAGCTGTAGGGAATTCTCGTGCACAATGTGGGC